AAGTTGACCATTTCCGTCGTCTGGACAGAATCTTGTCTTAAATACTCCCGCGCACACCTGCGAAAAATTCAAACACCGAAAAAAATGTTCCTCTTGATACACCATTCTGACTTAAAGCTTCGTTTCTTACCGGCACAATTTGATTTTTTCAATTAAAAAAACGTTGTTTTGCTATCGCTTTTTAAACTTAAACTGAACGATGGCAAAACAACGTTGCTTTAACTAAAGAAAATTGTCTTCAAGTTAAATCCACATGGATTTAACGCCAGAAACCCAAATTTTGTCGACAATATACGACGCTTCAAGTCAAAATAATATCCTAAGGAAAATTTTTTTTAGTGAAGGGTACACTGGAAAAAAAAACACATTATATCTAGAGTCCAGACTCTTGAAAACATTGACAAGAAAAAATACTCTTGATTCAATCGGATTTTTTCTTGAATCAAAACGAAATCCGCTTAAATTAAGAGGCTTGGTTCTTGATTTAAGCTAGATTCTGATTGAATCAAGAGTACTTTTTCTTGTCGATGTTTTCAAGAGTCTGGACTCTAGATCCAATGTGTTTTTTTCCAGTGTAAATCAAGGAATACTCAAAAAATTCGAAATCCGGAAAATACAATGAACACCAAAAAGCCCCGCGGGCTGATTGTTAAAATTGATAGATACAGCGATAGACAAAGAAGACACAGGGAGTATGGAGGAGCAATCCTATTGGTTGAAATGGTTGGTTTTTATAGACTAAGGGAGAAAACTAAGTACTAACTTTAGGGGGTTTCTCGTGGGTTTCCGTCAGTCTACTATTTACTTTCTTTGTCTATTGCGATCACCCGCCTCCACCAATAGAATCCCTCCGTATCCTTTTTGTCCTCTTTGTCCATAGCTTTGTCTATCAATTTTAACAATCAGCCAGCTGGTGTCCTTAGAGAACAAGTAGACGGGCCTGATTGCATGTGTTGGAGTCTCGGAGCTCGGCAATGTCACGGTCGACTTGGGTCGCTCGTTGTTTTTTCCTTGGTTTTTTCCGGAGCCGAATGCGGGTTGTTGTTGTCTGGCGCCTATCGCCTATCGCGCCCATTATTTCGGCGAAAAAGCGTCGCACGGAGGACACGAGACCGAGTCTGCTCGAGTTGATTGAATGGAAAGCCGAACCGTGGCGCGGCGCGGGTGCCACGGACCGGACGAACCGGAAACTTGCGTCACTCTCACTCCCACACACTCACACATACACACGAGTCCTGCGTATTCGCGTATCGTGAGAGACCCCATCCGTGCACCTACGATATGCGAGAAATGAGCCGAATTTTTGCAGGAGGAGAAATTGAAATTGTTTCATTTATACTGGAGCCTTTTTGAGGCTAGGTACACGTCATATTTACATTGTGAAGGAATAAAGTATTTACATTGTTCATATCGATGGTGAAACTACCAAACCACGTATCTCGGTTTGCGACGTCGCAGACTTCCTGTCATACTTTATTTTTTAAATAAAAAACTACTTAACATCCAGTCTTGAAAATTTCTGTGATTTTTCCTTTTCGTGCGGAGAAAGTTCTGTGAAAATTTCAAGGAATGATATTGATTTGGTCTACTTCAAAAAAATAAAATGTGAGCGTAGATTTTTAAACACCGCAAACGAGATACGTGGTTTGGTAGTTTCACCGTCGATATCTTGGAGAAAAATGTAAATAAAATTAATCATATTACAAAAGAGGTTCGATTATCTGGTTTTGATAGATCGTTCTATAAAGTCTTTAGATGTCTATTCAGTCCAGTTTATAAGTGTTTCTTTCAGAGCAATACCAAAGTTTTTCGATCCCTCATTTTTCAGTACACTGGCAAAAAAAAAACAAAAAAAAAAAAAAAAAAAAAAAAAAAAAAAAAAACACATTGGATCTAGAGTCCAGACTCTTAAAAACATCGACAAGAAAAAGTACTTTTGATTCAGTCAGAATCTAGCTTAAATCAAGACCAAGCCTCTTAATTTAAGCGGATTTCCTTTTGATTCAAGCAGAAATCCGATTGAATCAAGAGTATTTTTTCTTGTCAATGTTTTCAAGAGTCTGGACTCTCGATCCAATGTGTTTTTTTTTTCCAGTGTAGTATCCTTAGGGATTCTGGGAGAGTTTTAAAGATACTTTAGGCAATGCTTTTCATGAGAAATTTGATTTTTTTTCATCACCTACTTGGCTGTTTTTTCTGTGAAAGTTGTGCCTTGTATCGTGCTGGTAGGTTGGAAACATTCCCTCTTGACTCAGATATCCCTTTTTTAAAGCTATTGTCTTATTAAAATGCTCGTATGGATCGTATTTGATACATCAAACAAGTGAGAATGTATCGATGTCGATCGGTACACGGACTTTATGTCCACTTTTTTAACGTCCACAGACTTTTTGTCCACAATTTTTACGTCCACAGTTCTAAAGCCCACACTATTGTTATGTCCATTACTTAAACGTCCACAAATGTAAAGTTCACTAAAATCAAATTCAAGCGTCATATTAGTCCTTGTGTAAAATTATATTGACAATATCGAAATGAGAAAATTAAGAGATAATGAGGTGTTGTTACCGTAACTCATATTGTAAATGAAATGTTAATTTCTTCTTTTCATTCATCTTTTTACATTTTCTTTGGTAAATACTTGGTTTCATTTCTATCCTTGAAATTTCAGATATAAAGTATGCCTTCAATGCACATTCTTTTTTTTTAATGAAATTGATTACTTCATTTTAAAAACATTTACATTTTTAAAACGTGGTAAATATTTGTAAAACCTTTTCCAAGCAATGGCATCGATATGAATCTCAATGCGCCGTAGTTGTAATGAAAGAAACTATACAAAAATTAATAAAAGAAGAAAAAAACTAAGAAGCACGCAATTTTTTGTTTTTAACTTATTTGTACATCGACCTTCTTGAGGCAAATACGTCCAATTTTGAGAGTTTAGTTGCGCTTATACCACGCTGCAGCACAGTAAAATCCCAAAACATAAAATAATAAATTTGAATGCTTAGGAAATCATTAAATTTGACACGGAACGACTATTATATTTACAAAAAACACATTATATTTTCCAGTACTACATATTTCTTTTTCATCAGTTTAAAAGGAAATGATCAATGCAGAGAGTGCAAACATTTCAAAATCATGAGTTGAAAAACGCTGACTCCGCGAGTTTAAATATTAGAACCTAACATAGAGCGGAGCGGCGTGTTAGCAGCGCAGAACGCGCACTGGCGCCTACAAACCTAACGGGATACTTCACGCATTGCGCAACGCGTGAAGTATCCCATTAGGTTTGTAGGCGCCTATGCTCATGTTGAACCGCGAGGAGGAGGATTTGTAATTTATGCATGAAACTTGTGCTGCTTTGCTAAGGAGAAACGCCATACGTATGATCTTTTGTCTGTTGCCATTTGCCCTGAAAAAACACAGATTTTCAAGGAAATGTATAAATATTTTTCTCCGATTTTACAGAGAAGTTCGTTCGGAATTTGATGTAAATAATCTGAAACTTTCACAGAAAAATATTTATCACTTTCCTTAAAACTATTATCTTATCGAAAGATGTTTCGTAAAGTTCAAATGTTCATACGGCGTTTTTCCTTAGAATGGCAGAATACAGCTAATCGGTGGATGCAACTTGATTAACTTCGGCATAGGGTTGGGTTGCATCGCCAAATTGGAAGGCGAACTAGCAGTGCACTAGTTTTCAAGCGATGCGGCGCAATATGTCTTTTTTACTTTTAATGAACTTTTTGGATTTTTCATCGTAAATTGTTACCCACGAAAAACTCAGCTTCCGCTCTGCTAAAATGCCATGCAACTGTGTGTTTTTTTCTCGCGGCGCAGCTACTTTATAGTACGTAATAAAGATCAGCAGGCTTTCTTTGAAGAAAATTTATCCTCTTTTGCTTTCAATGGGTCCAAAAGTAAGCTCAAATAATGTGACAAAAATGGTGGCTGCCGTGAATAGAAGAAAAAGGCCCAATCCCAAACTTCTCCATCAAAACCCAAATTGTAGTAAATGTGAAGCGCGTCGGATTATTTGAGGAATCTTTATGAGAAGATGTCGGTTTTCCACGAATATTACGTAGGTAGGTGTAATCTGCAGAAAAGGAGAATTGATGGAAAGTAAGAATACTTTCGAGAATATATTGAGTAATTAAATCTCGTAGAAAAATCATCGGATAGCGGGAAACAGGGCGTCTCAGGATTTTTTTGACTCCTGTGGGCTAATTATTTAAATTGTAAAAAGCTGTACCTAGACAAAGAATACAAAGGGAAAAATAAGCTATCTTTTTGGTATAAACTGGTGATTGCAATGGAAGAAGAAGGTAATAGACTAACTGAAGGTAACCCACGCGAGACCTAATAGTTAGTCCATCATTTTCCAGCTAGTCTATAACAACCACCCGTTTCAACCAATAGGATCGCGCTGTATTTTTTTTTCTCCCTTGTTCATATCTAATGAGCAACGAGAGTCGGCAGAAGCACCCTCCGAGAACGTTTTGCGGCAAATATTTTTTGTTCCTTCACACTGAAAAAGAAAACTCCGGCCGTGGAATCCGTACTTACAGACTACATGGACATACCGTCCGCCTTCAGGGCTCAGAGGCCGAATGTTCCGGGTCTAGCGCCCAGAACAGACAAAACTACAGCTCCAGCACCTGGAACGGCACCTGAGCCTAGAACGCACGGAGTGTTTATACACCGCCTAAACTGAGTGGGGGATGCTGTATGAGTATTAGAAATACTGAAGCAAGCATAAATGCCTGACGATTAATGACGATGACNGGGGGGGGGGGGGGGACACACACAACCACTGAGTTGGGTGGAGGGTGAGCGTAGGTAACCGCACCTAAAAACATTTTAAGAAAAATTTGCTTTTATCAGATCTGACTTCATTCCCTAGTGATTGGTGGAAACTTTTTTTCAGTGCAGTATCCCTTCGTTCAACTCAACTAATTAACTGACGTCGTTTTGTATTTCTGTTGCAGATGAGCATGGAGCGGAGCCTGGAGGAGGAGCTGATTTCCGCCCGGATGAGCCTCCGCCGACAGACGATCCGGTGCCATCAGATCATCAGCGCCCTCGTGAAGAAGATGCAAGACAAAGAGAAAGAGGCGCAAGCGGAGAAGCAGCTCCGCGACCGACAACTCTCGGGTGTCCTACGATCGCTGTACAACCTCGAGGCCCGGCTCCGGCGGGAGCAGCGGGCGATACGACAGCAACTCCTCGAGAAGGACAACGTCATCGCCGAGCAGCAGCGGGAGATCGAAAGGCTAAAAGCCGGCGGATCGAGAGAGAAAGTCCCGTGCGGTACCCAACGGATCAGCGTAGAGTCTCAGACGTCGCCCCTCCCGGCTCCACCCACGGAGCTGAGGCTCGACAACGACACGACCGACGCTAAGAAGTTCTTTGACACGACCGACGCCAAGAAGTTCTTCGACACGAAGCCCGACCTCATAACTTCCATCATAGTCTCGCCGACGAAAAACGACCCGCACGAAGACCACAAGAAGCCCCGCGTGACTTTCGACACGGACTGTATCTATTTCCCGAACGACTCGAACATCATGGACAACTTCGACTCGTACGAGTTCAACCAAAACTCGCTCGAGTCCTTCGGCAACGCCTCGTCGAGGAGCGACAGCGACGTCGAGTTCAAGAACGAGATCAACAGCTTCGACCTCATCAAGAGCAACGTGGAGCCCAACGACTCGATCGACTCGGGAGACCGGACGATCGTCCCGGAGTCTCCGGGGATCCTCGAGCCGCCGACCCCGTTCAAGATCAGCCAGTCGCCGAGGACCCTCATCCAAGAGGTGAAAATCGGGTCGGAGAACGACCGCATCGACGAGTACTACCAGAACAATCCAGTCCTCAAGTGCGTCAACCAAATACTCCTCCGAGACGAAGAAGATTACCTGGAGGCTAGAGATAATCTACAAGAGCAGAGGCAGGCGAGTCAAGAGTCGTTGAAGCCCAGCTCAAGCCCGAGACAGACTCAAAACTCGGAGCCGATTTTCAAAACTTCACCCTCCTTCAAATCCAACGATGAGAAATTCCTCTACCCGCTTCAGTCGAAACTCTTTACCCCTCCGAGAATCATGTCGAACTGCAAGAGTGTGAAACTGCCACCGGCTCTACCGCCGAAACCGCAGTGTCTCCTGAAGAGCAAGCCGAAAATCTCGTTCAACTCCTCGATCAGCACGAACCCGTTCATAACCTCGCCGGAGCCGGGAGGCCAGAAGCTGGCCCAGCCCATCAGGATAGAGCACAACGAAAAGATCAGCTCGGTCTTGGAGGCCATCAACAACCCCGACTCCCCGTTCCCGAAACCGCCCTCGCCCAACGACGAGCTCTACGTCATATCCAACTCGGCGCTCTCCGGCCACGACGACGACTACGTCGACGAGCTGATGACGTCGCACTACCAGCCCGGGAGCAACGACAACTCGACGAAGGAGGAGCAGCCGTGGGAACAGCTCTGCGCCGATAAGCTCCTGGAGGATCTGCAGAACAGCAACGAGAGCAAATCGGACCTCATGAACTTGTTACCGAACATGTACCACTCGCCGAAGAACGACAAGCAGGTGCCGTCCAGCGTGTCCCAGATGGTGAAGAAGTTCGAGAACATCACCAAAGTCTCGCCGAAGACGAAGGAGCTCGCCAAAGAGATGGATCTGTCGCAGAATTTCGAGGAGTTCTGTCTGGAGGATTGCGATATGGAGTCGGTGGACAGCAACAAGTCCACGTCGGACAGCTCGCGGATCTCGGCGGAGGGTGCCGAAGTTTTGGGCAATCCGCCGGAAGATGGAACCGGGGGCGCAACCTACGAGAATTTCCTCGAGGCGACGGGTCTGAGTCAGAAGTCCATCATGACCCCGAGTCGGATGTTCAGCAACCATAAGCACGTGATGAAGCCCAAAGATGTGAAGCATAGGAATAAAGTCAACAACGTTAACAAGTCCAACAACGTCGGGCTCTTCCAACGCTGCTCCACGGCCACCTCCATCAACGGAGGGCCAACGATTAAATATTGGACGGAACCTTTCCTGTAGGAGAGGAAACATTTTAGGTCGAGTTTCCGCTCAGGAAATGGCCTGGTTCGGGAAATCAGAGACCAGAATTTGTCGTGATTACGATCGTTTTATCTTGATACGATTTGCCGCGCAGGATCCATTTGAACTGCATTTTGCAATTTGGAGCTATAAATTCTAACTCATCTGAAGAAACACTTATGTGCATAGGGAAACTAATGGCACATATGTTGTTTTTAAACCGGGCCGAAATTTATAGTTCTTAATTGCAAAATGTAGTTCATTTGTGGTTGAACTAGTGTCATATATATCGGCTGATTTTAGGCGAATTTTTGCGGGAGGATTTTCGGTCGACTTTTTCAACCAGATCGGCAGGGTTGCCAAGCAATGGAGAAAAACGCTCTGCTGAAGTCAAGAACTCTTAAATTCAGTTCATAGATGGATTCTGGCCAACGTTTGCATCCCTTTTCTCAGCCCACCTCTGGAAGTGGGTCGAGAATTTTGAATTTGGTCATCAATGCTGCATGCATGAAAACCATATGTTGTAGGCGCACCATCGCCCGAAGGGAATTTTCGTATTATTGTCGTGGCAGAAGTTGGCAGTAAGTTAAACACTTTAACCAAAGCCATTTGCGAAAATTCATCTTTTGAGTTTAACAATAACGAACCCGCTCTATGCCTAGTTTAAAAGAAGCATAGGAAAAAACTGGATTCGAAGAAATAAAAATAGGAAATTTTATAAGAAAAAAGTATCGAATTTTTTCTTGCAAAAAAAAAAAAACCTGTCTTTTTTCGTTCGATTATTGCAATTTTCGACCAAAACCAGTTCTCGGAATCGAAAATCGTTGCGCTTATCAACCACTTGTATTGCCTCTTTATTTTTTTCAGTACGACTTATCGTAATTTAAATCAGCGGATACAATCTTCAAAGTTTTATGTGTTTAGTAAAACTGTTCAACCACTCTCACGTGCCTTTGTCTGTGTTCAACTTAATAAAAAAATGTATTGCATGAAGCACCGAGTGAAAGAGAATTTCTTACCGCGTTGCTCTTAGCTCTCATTGGTAATTTTGTGTTATTAGCAGCCTCGCTAAACTGGCTTATTTTCACCAAAACGAAATTAATGTGGTCTCTGTTTATTGGATGCGCCATTTTTTTTTTACTTTCATTCCACTAAAGTGAGACATTACTGATCTCTAGTTGATGAAGTTCTAGTGAGCTTGGAAGGTTTTGTCAACTTCCATGTTGCCGCCTTCCCTTCCGAGTTGAAACATTAAGCTAGTACTTCCTTGTGTAGGGAAGTTTTTTTCTTTTTAATTCAAATCTAACATACTTAGGCAGTGAGTCTTACTGAATTGAAAATGTTTATTAGCTTCATGAATCTTAATTTATTGTAAGGAGCCATGAGGCCACGACTTTAAGATTTTTATCACACCAAATTCCGTCCAGTTATTTCATTAGGTACTTGTGCCTTCACTGTAATGTCTTTCTAATGTATTATTCATTTTTTCCTTCTTTCTCCTGTCCATGTATTTCAATTGCAAAGAAAAAAACCTATTAATTGTATAGAGTCATTCGCCTACTTTGTAACATTCTGTTCTTTTTATTCTAAATTTAGGCATGATATTAAAAAAGTTCTGACAAAGCAGTCAGTTTTGTCTCCCTCTCTCTTATCACATTTCCATCGTCAAAATTGTCATGTGAGAAGAGAAGTAAGCGAACATTCCTAATTTCTTGAAATTGCTTGATTTACATTCCTAAAAATCTTACAAAGATCTGTATCGTATAAGTAAGCAGTATTTTAACTATTAGTGCGGTTTTTCGTGTATGGCATTGTAAAGCTTTATCGTTTTTTTATTAGTTTTACGGTTTGACGTGGTTTTCACTCTTGTACCTGGGTAATTTTATCGATTTCTTTACTCATTCAGTAATTCATCCGTACATTTATTCATGTATTTAGAGTTTTTCGTTTGCTTTTAATTGTGATTACGAATGAGCATGGATATGTGAACTCAACTTCATATAGTCAGTAATTCGTTCAACCGGTTTCTTTTTTGTAGAATTTTCAAATCTTGTTTTTATCAAATCAGGTATCGGTCGAGTTTTACCAACACCGCTATTTTATTTTACTGTATATATAAATTGATCTATTTTAACGTACTCACTGCACTTAGTTATTTGATCACTTTTACCTTTTATATGTAAATGCAGCTTCAATCCTCATCGTTTTTAACTCTGATTACCAGTAGCGAGTGAATGATCGATTATCGATGTCTCTCCATTTGAAGCTATGGTAAAGAATCGATTATTAAGGTGTTCGTTGCGGACACCTTGCTTATCGATCCTTTTGCACAGGTGTAAATGTCAGATCAATCGATCCATCGCAAACCACGCCACACCACTGCTGATTACTAGTTGCCTTACTGACTGATCGATACCTTTTTTTATTCTAATTTGATATGGTGAAGAGGAAAATTTATGGAGATTGTGATTTTTCCTCGTGCCAGTCATCGAGCTTCGTGTCCGTTGTTGACACACGTAACCAGTGACGTGACGTGCTTTGCGATATATCGATTGATCTGCCATTTAAACCTATGGGAAAGGATCGATAAACAGGGTGTTCGCAACGAACACCTTAATAATAATAGTTTCTTTACCATAGCTTGCGAGTATCGATCATTCACACCTCGCCGTTGGTTAACACACCAAATCGGGTTGCAACGGTGTGGCTCCAATCAAGGAGTAGATTTTTACCCCGTGTGAATACATCGTAACATATCTTGTGCCTGTACTCAATCATGAAACATTAACATATCGACGGTGAAACTACCAAACCACGTATCTCGTTTGCGGTGTTTAAAAATCTCCGCTCACATTTTATTTTTTTGAAGTAGACCAAATCAATATCATTCCCTGAAATTTTCACAGAATTTTCTCCACACGAAGAGGAAAAATCACGGAAATTTTCAAGACTGGACGTTAAGTAGCTTTTAATGTAAAAAATAAAGTATGACAGGAAGTCTGCGACGTCGCAAACCGAGATACGTGGTTTGGTAGTTTCACCGTCGATATGAGGCTTTATATATGTAACAATGGCTGATGTAAAAAATTTCCTTTTAGAAAAACGCTCAAAAAACTGTTTTGGTCATATCTACAAAAATGTCGTATGTTTGGCTCTGACTTAATGTACAGATCTCGAAGATCACATCTCAAGTATTTTCTGAAAATTCTCTTGATGCCAACAAAGTCTCTTCGAAAGTTCGAAAAGGTAATTTTTCACTTCCGCCATTGTTTCACATAAGTCCTCATATGCTGTTTTTCTGAAACTCAAATCGTAACATTCCTGAAATATTCCGTGGCTAATTTCCCGATCTTCTCAAAAGTTATGATTTCCATTTAGTTTTATAATTATTTTAATTTATTTTTCAAAACTTAGCCCAAAAAACTCTGTTGCGTATGAGCGTCAGCCCAAGTTCACTTCTCCGTGCTCACGTGATGTTTTTCTCTGTATTATGTCTTTTAAATTGTTAGATCGTTTTATCATTATTTTTAAAATAAACGTTATTTTTAAAATTTGATCGAATATTTCCTCTGATTACTACCTACTCGAATATAGTTGCGTTTCCTCGCTTCCAGAGATGCAAAATTTCATGAAACTTCAGGGTGTCTAGTGACCAGGAAATGTTAGGGAATTTATTTTGTGTCAGAGAAATGAAAGAAAACGTAAAAAAATTGGTGTCAGGGAATTTTATTTTGCAAGCGATTTTCTCGTCAGGAAAATCAAAAAACATTGATTTTTTTTTGTCGTCGAAAATTGATGATGAATCAAGTTTCAAAAAAATGAAATCGATACCAAAATTCCTGCCAGAATTTCGCCTGGTGTCTTTTAAATATCAAAAATGAGGCGAAAATATCTCACATAAGCTATATTTAATATCATATATTTTTCTCTCTATTACATTATTTTCCTAAAACATGAAAGAATTCTTACTTACATGTAATCAGCTCAGCCGTGTCGAAAAATTAGGAATATAATCCCTTTTTGTCAGGGAATTATCATTTCCGTCCGTCAGGGAATTTCAAATTTTCTCCTATTTTTTGGCTTTTTTCTCAGGGAAATGTCAATAATTTTTTTTTTTTTTTAAAAAAATTGCTAGACACCCTGAACTTCGTTTAATGAAATTTCACGAATTGTTTTGAAAAATGCTACAATTAATTCAGAATGCTGTGAAACGCATTGAAGCAGTTAAATCCTATTTTTTAAATTTTGAAAAAAAAAAAAAGAATCATGCGTATCACGAAGTCTCTTATCGAATTTTCTGGTTGCATACGCAGCCCCTGGCAGCCTGCTGAAATTGCATAGAAAACGAATTTTCACTTGTCAGTAAATGACTCACTTGTGCAGTTCCCTGCTCTCTTCCATTTGAGTAAAGATACCAAGAGAAAGTCGCTGGAATTTCAACGTGCACCCAATGCGTGTTTTGCCATGGTGTATAGAAAAAAAGATGCATGAGCTTTTTTGCCATGGTAAGGAAGAACCCCTTATGAACCTTCGCACGTTGTCAAATTTCCTCAGATAAAGCATAACTTTTTGATTAAAATTTAATTTTCCGTTCAAGTTTCCAGCGAATTCCCTTCGCAATATGATCTGAAGCATCGACTTAAAAAGTAGAAATACTCATATAATATTTCTTAAGACGTCAAATTTTAAGAGGGGAAATCTGGCAACGTGCGATTGTACAAATGGCGTTTTTCCTTAGCCCGGCAGGTTTGACTATCACCGAAATCCTTCGGATGTAATATTTTGAAAAAACGTTGTTAATATTTTGACAGAAGTTTAGAATACTTATTCTTGCTTTCCATTGTGCTTGCCCAATTTAACTGTTATTCGCAGGAATCGGTAGATTCGTCTGCAAAGTTTAAAAAAGGAGAAGAAAAAAAAATGGGCAAGAAAACCAACAATCTTGCAAAATTGAATTGTATACTTACAAACGCGTTTTAAATTACGCGATACACGTCAGTAGATAGTGCATGAAGAACATAGAAAACTGTTACCTGTAGCTCTCCGCGTCATTGGAATTTTTCAACCTTATGATTTCTTTAGGAAAAGAGAGAAAAAAAGGGAATGATCTCACGGAACTTTGCGCAAAGGTTAAGTTTCGTAAACCTACCTCTGTGTGAGCAAGGCCTTCCATCTCTAAGACATGAACGAAAAAATTATGAAAGAACAAACATAAATGCGGTTTAATAATTTTAACCCTCTATGGCATGAATTAATTTTGAATCTCAGATTCTAGGGGACACTAATCTATTTTGTAGCTTGCATAAGAAAAAGAGAGTACCAAATTTTTTTTTCAAAATGCTAAAGTTAAGGGAATCAATTTTTCAAAAAAAGAAAAAACTAATGAAATTTTGCAAAATTATGGCACAGGAGAGAGACTCAATTTTTTTAAAAACCCCGAAAATAAATTGTTACGAATTCGTAACGCTATTGCCATAGATGGTTAAATTCCGCCGCCGCGCCGCGCTGATCACTTGAAGTATTCCTTCAGTCTTGTAGGCGCTATGCGTTTCACGCCGACCGCTGCTGAACGCACTGCATTTGACGCAATGCGTGAAGTATCCATGCAGTCTTGTAGGCGCTACGCGTTTCACGCCGCGCCGACCGCTGCTGAACGCACTGTATTTGACGCAATGCGTGAAGTATTCATGCTGTCTTGTAGGCGCTAATATTTGTTACATGCCGACCGCCGCGCCGGGGGCTTCTCCTTTTCATCTCAAGTCCTCGTCATCATTGTTCTCTGCGCCGTGTCGTTCCAGGCGTAATTGTGTGTTTGGTTCCTCTCTTAACTCGACCAATTAAAGGTGCTGAGCTGTCTCTTGTATGATGTTTACTTTTTGCAGGCAAAGACCCCCTCGGAATGAGCAGGCAAGATGGCTGCGTGGCGCGACGGGAACTCAGAGCAGTTCGAGCACTCTCTAACCAATACCTACTCTAACCCATCCTATCGTCTATGCCGTCTCCCCACCTTATCTATCCAAATAATCATGTTTCCAATAATGTAAAATGAATCAGTGAGTTCGGAAACACTCCAACACGGGTTTTTTTTCGATTTTCACTTTTTTGCGGTTTAGTTACACTTCTGGATAAGTAGAAGCATCTGCACGCAAAAGGATATTTCGAAATTGCAATCGGAAGTGCTCGAAACGGCGACGGGAAAAGGGAAGAATCGAAGAATTTCATTGGAAATACCAATTTTTGGCCGATCAAGGGAATCGGGTGACTATCCGATGCTGTTTTCTTTTTTCGGTTCAGTATACCTTGTGCCAACAAGTTATATAAATATTCAAGCGTTATTCAGGTCAAAAAATATAAATTTTTCAGGGCAGACTATGAAAAATCAGTATCTGAAACTTGGTGCGTTAAAGTCTCTAGAGTACTTCGAAGTACTCTAGAGACGCAAGATCTTGCGTCCTTTGGCACCAAAAAAGTTTTTCTTAAACTAACTTCTTCGCCCGCTGCGAAGTTTTAGGTGTTTCCTGAAATTTTTTTTTTTTCGAGTTGGTGTATTTTCGAACTCACTGATTCAAATGTCATCTTAGGTACCTAATGCTATATTTATGCTCCCATATTTCACCCCTTGATGCCTGACTGGTAAAATTCACCACTTTTTGGATCGTTATGTACTTTTGTAGGTATAAGTTATCAAAAGCAGAAATGTGCAAAGATATTTTTTTAGCAAATTTTTCAAGGAATATGCTAAGTGCCTCGTTACCTTTAACAGGATGTTTCCCAGAAGTTGTACCATTGTGCCACAAAAAAAAAATTATAAATTTGTGCGAATGCTGAGTTAAATTTTTAGCTTGATGGTTCATCTTCACATGTAAATATTTTTGGTAGAATTACAAATTCCACAATGAAAGTCTAGCAACACAGCTAACTTAGCAAAAGCCCTCATATTTCTCGAAGTCAGGAGAGGGTAATATTTCTCCCCCCCTCCCCCTAACTAGTTCCCCCAATGCTCCTGAAAACATCTCTGCTGAGCGCAAAAATCCTCAAACTCATCCCTCATCATCTGGCGTCCCCATGGCTCAGATATAAATGAAGCCCCTCCCCCCCTTATTTTCCATCAAAATTCAAAATGTAAGTAGGTACGTTTAGAATTTGATTTCAATGCCTCAGAACGCTGCGGGGCCCCCACACAAGCTTGTGCCAGATATGCTAAAGATTTTCCCTCCTTAGGTAATCCTTAAATTATATCAGAAAAATGTCTTGCCAAAGAATTTTGAGAATTACCCTGGTTAGTACTTGGTTTGAACTCTTTTAGAAATTTAATCCCGATCAAAAAGGTCAATTCCCTGAGCTGAGCAGTTTAATTTTTCTCCGAGAGTGAAATTTGTGCTTGGCGCCATTATGTGATGTGCAAAGAGTAGAGGAGAGGAGAGAGCAACAGAGTATAATCATGGAGTCCGAGCGAGCTTCATGCACGCTCCACCAGCTACTCCCGCTCTGTGATCGCCTGCTCATTCGTAGGGGGTCTTTGCCTGCAAAAACGCTCAATCCTCTTGTATCACCGAAAGACGACAAAATTAGAAACGACTATACTCTCAGGAAATGAGAGATTTTGTTGCCTTTTCTCGTTTGTATTTTTTTGTTTCTGAATCCGATTTTTTTATACCTACATTTAAAAAATTTCAAGATTTGCCGCCCCCTAAAGCCGCCATGGGCCGCGGCCCATGTGGCCACCTCCTAAATCCGGCCCTGGTTTCCATTCCTGCGGGGCGATTATTGAAATGATATCGACTGTACGTCAGCGCTTTGTCGTGTCGCGCCATCGACTAAGCCATTGCTTAGTCGATGGCGCGGAAACATCTAAATCGATCCGTTTGATGAATTCCGAATGAAAGTCTCTGAAAAATTGTAAGAAAAATATTCGCAAGTGTCCCCAAAATTACGTATTTTGATAATCTAAGGAAATTTGGCTGCGTCCGAAGCCTCATAGGGCGTTTGCCAGCCCGGCTGCATTATTGGTTTTTAAAAGCACAGAAAATATTCTTGTGAATCCCAGCTAGCAATAGAACAATTTCCCAGTAAAGCTCAGTCATTTCTTGAGCAGTAGGGAAAGTTTTCTAGTAAAGCTCAGCGGCATAGTTTCCATACATGCAAAGCCCATTAATTACATTAGCCTTAATTAATTACCTGCGCCTAACTTGCTTTGCTTGAAAAGCGGTCGATGGTTGAAGCCCGTAAATTCAAATAAAGGCGCGGTTTCGTTCTCGTTATTCCGTTATGAGGAATTCGGATTTTAGACAAATCCGAAGCTAGGAACGGTACTGGGAATTTTGAATGTGAAACGTGCCTTGAGGCAATTCCTTGAGGTTATGTTACATTGTTTGTTTGTAATGTTGACTTTTTGATAATATTGCCGATACCTTATAAAATTTTATTCACTATTTTCTCCTATTAATGTCGCGATGCATCTCTACGGTTTTACCTCATAGTCAGCAATAAATCACTTAGCTTAATTGTGTCAGCCCTAACTAACTCTAGTTTTTTGTGTGGTGTAATTACTTTAGTTCCTTTTGTTGACGCCCTGTGCCTCTACAAATGCCAAGTTCTCATCATGGATAGGAAAACAATGAGCAGCGAGTTACTAAATTCTGACTCCTGTAATCTTCACAATGCCAGCTCAGACTCGCTTGGCTCCGACTCGATGTCCAGCTCCTTGACGTCGAAGGTTGGAAACGAAAATGTAAGTTATGGAGCCGTTCGAAGGCTTTGAAAGGTAGTATCCACCCCTCTGAGCTTTTACCTTTCAGATGCAATAACTTTGAAGAGGGGTTGTACTCACAGTTTTTGAAACTTGAGTGTTTCATGGGAATGTGCCTCTCGAGCAAAGGCAAAACAGTTCTTAAACGCTTTCTAGTAATTTTCCTGCAGAACGGTCTCTTTCAGAGGGTTCCATTTTGTGATGAATTGGAAAAAGTCACATTTTCAGGGAGGTAGAGTCCGTCTCAGACAACTCTGCCCCTTATGCTGTCTGCGCAAAATAGGAACTTCCCCACTACGGGTATACAGCAAAGGAGAGCAAGTTATCTGAAACAGGCTCTAATTGTATGGTGTTGACGGAGTGTTGTCGTTTGATTGAAGGAACTGTTTAGTACATTTTTCTCTCTTTTCTTGCAAGCCCCTGAGTTACTTTGACTCGCTTGTCATTTTTTGAAAGACCAAAAACAATCCAATAGAAGAACTCACATCTTGTATCTTGAGACAAACTTCTAAGTATTGAGTATGTCACCACTCATCAGTGGTGCCATCTGACTGCACGTGTTTGTCTCAACACACAATGCACTACATATCAGCTCTATCAGCACTCAAGAGAATTTGACAAATTTAGAGCCATTAAAAGAAATCAAATCTAAGCGGAAGCTTTGATAGGAGGACTGAAAATATTCAGGGAAAAAAAGGGAATTGGGGAGTGAAAAAATTATGTAAACCCTGCATCGATGATCTTAAATTCAGCTTTTGAAGGAATCATCTCCTTACCATCAAAACACACACTTAGAAGTGTTGTCAGATAAGTTGACATTAGTTTACTTTCGGTTCGCAGGCGTTTTTGCGTCACCACTATCCACATGAAAACATCAGACTCTCGCAGAGGAGTAGTATCTAACTTAAAGTTGGATAGGTTTTGAATAATTTCTAACTTTGTAACGCTTTAATTTTTAGCCGCGCGAAACCACAACCACATGAAGGTTGCGTATCATAGCTGAAAAGTAGTTTATTTACAATATGATCATGAGATAGATGTTTTCAAGGTGGATAGTAGCAAACGATGCTTTGTGGAGAGGCGTAAATTTGTTTAAAAATCGAAAGTAAAAAAATGTCAACTTATCTGACGATACCTCTGATTGCTCTTAAATATCTATTTTTTTTTAATATGGCTGTCATTTTTCAGGTTGAACCTGCAGATGCCGTTCCAACTGTTCGACCTGATGACCCTCCACTTCTACCAGGTGAAAAAGTCCAAGGTGTTGCCAGGGAAGTAACTTATGTCTGCCCTTACAGTGGTCCCGCCCGAGGTGTTCTGTCAGTAACCAATTACAAGTTACATTTTCGGAGTTTGGACAGGGATACACCCTATGTCATCGAAGTACCTCTTGGCGTGGTATGTATAATTTTCTTTTTGTACTTCCATAAAATATATTATTCAGCAACTGCTTCTACAACCCTTCAAAGGTGTCTTTGTTGAAATCGTCAACTTTTAGGAAATAGAAAAGAACCAGCAGCTAGATGTGGAAGAGGCTCTAACCATTGATCGAAACTGATGGAAAATTGGAAGCATTTCTGCTAAACGGAACCAGAGACAGGTGGGAAAGAAGGGGTGTGCTTGTTAGTTGTCTTGGAGTTCAGCCAAAAATAAGAAGATCCGATCAAACAAGCCTTCGTTCTAAGTAGCTTACTGCATTTTTCCAAGTGCGAAACCCCTCTCTTCATTGTACTTAAAAACTTGGTATTTAGACACATCATTTCATCATATTTTAGTATATCGACGGTGAAACTACCAAACCACGTATCTCGGTTTGCAACGTCGCAGACTTCCTGTCATTCTTTATTTTTTAAATGAAAAACTACTTAACGTCCAGTCTTGAAAATTTCTGTGATTTTTCCTCTTTGTGCGGAAAAAATTCTGTGGAAATTTCAAGGAATGATATTGATTTGGTCTACTTTAAAAAAATAAAATGTGAGCGTAGATTTTTAAACACTGCAAACGAGATATGTGGTTTGGTAGTTTCACCGTCGATATATTAGCATCAGCCATCAAAATATGATTCTGTGACAAGAGCAATTCATTCATACTTTTATTTGCTTTATTTTGATTTATATTATATCTTTAATCATTACTTATTTTATGCTTTATTGAATTGGGTTTAGGTGAACCGGGTAGAGAAAGTTGGAGGACAGCTTAGTCGAGGAGAGAATTCGTACGGAATCGAAATATTTTGCAAAGACATGCGGAATCTCAAATTTGGTCATAAACAGGTGAGGTTACCATTCTCATTTGTTTTGTCTATCTTGTAGTAAATCACTCATATTATATAAAAATTTCGAATAAAAGTGAAATTGACCGACAATGTTAATCTACCAGTGTAACTGATCAGTTTAACTTTCATCAGGGGTATCATAACTTTATGTCAGTCAGTAATTAGTAAGTTCTTTACCACTGAAATCAATACAATTTCACAAGGTGTCTGCGGTTGAAATTAGTCGGCTATTTCAGAAATACGTATTTGGGCTCTTGCTCCTTGCTTTTTGTTTTCTAGATCTTTTGACTAATAGTTGCACTGCCTACTTTGGTCATGTTCTTTCCTTACAAGGTTCCTTGTAACTTTTCAGGAACCTTTGTTAACAAGCAGAGCTCTCTTCTTAACGTACTCTTTGGTTCCTGTGTGCCAAAAACATTTTAACTGATCAAAAAATTCTACTGGCCAATATTTTTCTAATCTACGTGGATTGTAATTAGCTCTCTAATGACTGATTAAGATCGGCACCATCGCATCATGGAAGAAATGATTGACAAAAGCAAATTTTCAGAATATTTTGTGCTTGGTCATTGATCTTCCAATTCAAAAGTTTTTGCCAGTAGTGCAATATTACTGCTAAACAGGACTTTTCGTTTTGATGTAAACAAAATGTCTCCAACCAGCCAACTCTAGCTCAAAATTTTTAAGTCAACTCTACCTTGTAAAGAATGAATGTTTCGGTTTCTCATGAATATGTACATATGATATTCCTCAAGTTCATTTTCTCTTTAAAGGAATTCTTGTCTCAGGAAACCTTTCTTCATTTTTGTGCAATTTTTCTTTCCTTTTACAGGAAAATCATTCCAGACGAAATGTATTTGAGAAACTGCAGCAGTATGCCTTTCCTCTTTCTCATAAACTGCCTTTATTTGCATTTGAGTACACTGAAAGGTTTCCGGAAAATGGATGGAATGTTTATGAACCTATAGCTGAACTGAAAAGAATGGTAAAATTATTTCTTTACCTATCCACTTAACTACCTACCAACTGTATAGAATTGAGCTATCTTGTTTTTAGATTGAATGTTTGACGAAATCCTCCTGACAAACATATGTATAGTGATTTCCCATTTTGCTTCAAAATTCAGTGTAAAACTGAAATTCTCATGACGAAACACTTCATGGCAAAAGCACTACCTCTCTGTTTATAGTACTTGTGTATTCATGCGCAAAAGCTGGTAGCAATCTCTCTGTCCGGTTAGGTTTGTAGGGGGCTAAAATGACTGCCCTTTAGGGAAGCTGTTGTTGTGCCTGAAAGGCACAATGAAAGAGGCGCAAAGAAACAATGATGTATGCAAAATTCCAATGTATCCATCCCTCATTAATTCAAGTAATCTTTATCATTTTCTTTTTCTTATAATGTCTTTTTTGTATCATTTTCATGAAAGGGAGTTCCTAATGACATGTGGAAGATCACAAAAATCAATGAAAACTACACAATTTGTGATAGCTACCCACCAATATGGGCTGTTCCTTCCCAAGTCACAGAGGAAGACTTGCGTCAAGTCGTACAGTTTCGAAGTCGAGGTCGAGCACCTGTACTGTCGTGGATACATCCAGAATCGCAAGCGACCATCACACGAGCATCTCAACCTTTAGTCGGACTTGGTGCAAAACGGAGCTGTGAAGATGAGGGTTACATTCAGTTGATAATCGAAGCCAATGCGCAGTCTCACAAGTTATTCATCATGGATGCAAGGCCTAGGTATTGTTTTTGAGGGGAATTTTGCAAGAAGTGATGCCTCTTTTATAATCTCCACCGAGTTGTATTTTTCTCAGTGAACTGAGAAAAAAAAAAGTTGGCGGAAGACTAGATTTCCAATAGGTGAATTATGAAACTTGAGGACCTCTCTCCAAATCACCATGGCCCATTAGAAATTCATATATGTATTGCCAAATTTCGGATTTTCTGCCCATCCCCTCCTTCTCTTAATGCTTTTTTGAAGAAGGTCCCTATCCTTTAGCAGTTAAAACAGAATCACATAATGCTCTTTTCAACTCTCTTGTGTCACATATTTTCTGAAGAACCCCTTTACATTGAAGCTGCATCAGTTATATGTTTTAATATACCAAATTTCAAACTAGAGTAAAAAAGTAAGATGAATTTTCTGGTAATTCAAATTAATACTGTCCATAAAATTATACATAATAAGGTGTGAGGTGATGATCTATGCTTCTCCATTGTCAGAAGTTGAAAAATATCGATTCTCCTTGTCTTTCAAAAGTCTTCATTGCGAAAATATTACTACCCACAAGAGAGTTCAAAGAGTTTTCTTTTAGAGTTAAGACGTAAGTAATTGAGGAATTAAGCAAGGGCAAATGAACAATTTTCTAATTCTTGTAGGACAAACCGTGCATTGTCAATACTCAACCTCCTTTTGGTTGGCGCTACACTTATCCACACCGTCGAATTTATTAACCTTACCAAGACTGAGGTACAATTGGACATGTTTCTGCTAAGCGCAACCAGAGACAGGTGGGAAGGAAGGAGTGTGCTGGTTAGTTAAGGTCCGTAAGAATAAATGGGAATTGTAAAGCGCCAGTGATGTCAGCGGCGACGATGGAGACAACGATCCGTGGATCCAAGTATTTAACTCACCAGCCCTGTCAACAATGCTCTGGGCAGATGCCCACAGCTCATGAGAGCGACATACAGTTAGCTCATAGTTCCGTTTGGTAGAATGTAAAATCCTGCTTTTCCATTTCCTCAAGGGCATCACGCCACTGTTTTTTACGTAGCTTTCTAAAGCACACACCATTCTTCCCGCTTATCTATAGTTCTGTTTAGTAGATCTACGTCCAGTTGTCAATACCCAGCCTCCTCTTGGTTGGTGCTAAACTTATCTTTACTCTGAAATGTATCAGCCCTGTCAAGACAGGTATAATTTTCAAACTAAATAGGTCGTTTTACACCTTTCCGGAAGATGATTTTATAATAATGATTTTGTCCCAACTCCCTGTTGTTTCAATTTGATTTATTTGGGTATTGATTTTTGTTTTTAAACTAGTGCAAATGCTATCGCAAACAAAGCAAAAGGTGGTGGTTATGAGCCTGAGGATACATATCAGAATGCAGAGCTCATTTTCCTGGACATTCACAACATCCATGCCATGAGGGAGTCATTGAGGAAACTTAAAGGTTTGTCTTTAATGAGTTATTTTAAAACTTAAACAATAGTTTCTAAAGTGTCCAGCCATTCTTAGCGTTAATGCACCAATCTAAAATCTCGTATCATGCTCAAATTAAAATTGACCTTCAGCTTTAACACGCAGGCGTGCAGAAAGCACTTGATTACCTGATAGCGGAATAAATGTGAAGGCACCTGAAAAAGGCGAAAATAATGTGAAGGCCTCTAGATAAAGGGTTAAAAATTTGGTGGCAGAGGGCATAAACCAGCTAAGCCCATAGCTATTTGTGTAGGAAACTGTTTAATGCGCTCCCTTATACGAAGAAAATATTTAAGCCCACTCTTTTATGCAAATAAAATGGCAAAGCATGCTCTTTTATGCAAAGGAAACAGTGAAGCGGGCAAGTTTCATGTGGACAGCCTTGTGAAGGCAACCTCAAAAAATGTCAAGGCGAAGAACTTTCTGCGCCCATGTTTACAAAAATGATTTGATATAATAGTTGATGGATCCATTTATAATTTATATTTTAATAGATGTTATTAATATTTAAAATTTTAAGATTCTTTTTAAAATTACCTATGACAGTCACTAGTGCGTAGTGTGTTTGATACTCATGTAAAAACTTTGATTGAGATGTATGTACTTCGAAATAATAGGGTGGGAAAATAGTGCTGGGTTTACACTATTTTGTGGGGAAAAGAAGGTCAAAAATTTTGAGCTCCAATATGTACTGGTACCTCATTATGGCTCAAAATTATTGACTCCACTTGGAATTTTTAAACTTTTTGATCTTGTTTCCCCTGCAAAATAATGTGGACCCAGCACTATTTTACCATCTTGTTACACATAGTTTGGGCCACAATAGTGTTTTTTTCTTCTTCGAAATAATTCAGAAAGTACATTCAGAGCAAATTTTGCTAATTTTTCTGTCTTTCTATTTGTAATGTCCATTTGAGACAGACTTTTGTAGTCATCTTGAGGAACTTTCAATGAAATTTTGTAAATGAATTGAGGATCGTTGATAGGTCAGGAACGTCCTTTTCAATTGCAGCATATCATTCTACCACCCTATTCTTTGTCAGCCACAAGTCGACACTCAAGCTCTAAGCGCAACTTGAAAAGTAATGGTATTAACTAGAAGTTGACACTCGAGAACGCAGGGCTAAGTTTTTTTCAATGACCAATTTATTCAATCTACTGTATTGTTTTTTGCCTTTTGGAAATTCATTTTTTGTTTCATCTTAATGTAAGCTAGAAATTCTAATATCTTTTTCGGTAGTAAATTTCAGAAGTTTTCTATGTTTTCAATCTTTTCTGCATTAAAGTTTTATCTTAAAAAAATGTTTAGTGGTGCTTTTCATCTTATCTTATTTATAGTTCATAGTGTAATGGAACAAAATCTCAATTTTTGTAATTTTGTTTTTCCAGAATTATGTTTCCCTAACATCGATGAATCCAAATGGTTATCAGGAATTGAGTCGACATATTGGCTGAAATATATTAAATGCATCTTGGCTGGAGCTTGTCGAATTGTAGATAAGGTGGAGAATCATAAGACTTCAGTTTTAGTTCACTGCTCGGATGGTTGGGATAGAACTTCACAGGTATTCCTCAAATTTGAAGTTAAAACTTCTTTTTTTCTTTAGTAATTTTTTTGAAAATAAAAATCATAAATATGATGCCCTGGTCGTATCTCACAAACAGTTGAAGAAGTGGTACATCATTTTTTAAAACTCTCGGGTCGAATCTTTCTAATTAATTTCTCTTTAAAAAATGCTGACCTTAATTGGATCCATTAAGCAGAAAGGAATCAGCTATTGCTAAATTTTAATTTGGAAATTTAATATTTTACACGAAAACGGTTGTGCGGATTTTTTTTGTCAATTTAAGTGAATTTTCTGCATAGTATGATGCAAATTCCTTAAAATTTTCAAAAGAATCCGCTTAAACGTTCTCTTGTAAACAATTTTATTTGCCTAACTCAATTTGGCAATAGCTGATGTGGCCTGGTTCCTTTCTGCTAAATGCGGTTCAATTACTCAAGCAAAGACATTTGGTGCTGCAATTCACTTCATCTTTTTCCTTTGCCTTGTTAAGCTAAAAAATAGCAAAAAATTGGAGGCAGCTTGCAGGTTAAATATTGCGGAAAATATTAATTCCTGCTCAAAGCTCAGGTTTTTTCTTTTCAATTTTTCTCTTTTTTAGAAGAATCTGGTCAAATACTTTCTGTAGTAAGTAGTCTTCAGTAACTACACCAGAAAAATCACTAAAGGGAAGTTACCTGAGTCATTATTCGTGTTTCTAAATTCTTATCTCAAGTTTTTTAAGGGGAAGGGATCAGTTTTAATCATTGTCAGGAAAAAACAAATTTAAAATAAGTATCTGTCTACAAGGAATGTATCATATTTACTTTTATCATATACAACTTTTTTCATTAACTGGGTAGAGCAAGCAAAACATTCACATCTACATTGCTTTGCATCAAAATCTCATCTCTTATTTTAATTTATTGAAAGGAATCTAACCAAAATTTTTGCTTAAAATTTTGTTGAAAGAACCCTCATATGGGTAAAAAAAATTGTAAAAATATTCAAACAGGGATTTTGGTTGGTTTCCTTCCAAAAAATCAATTTTGGGGATGAGATTTTAAAACATCCCAACACAAATGTTACTGTTTTGCTTAAATCTATCCAATTCTTTCCTTCTTTCTAATGCTTTCTTGTATGAATACATTAAAATTTGTCAGAGAAAGGAGAGAAATGTAATCCTAGGTGTAGCATTTTAAAATTTCTGCTAGTGGCCACATCTCCATGTGGTATTGAACCGCTCTGTTTTTATTTCCTTTTCTCGCCTGCGGCATATTTAGGGAGAAAATTGACCATCTTGAAATATTCCAGGAATTTCTAGATTTTCATGAAGAATACACTAAAGTTCTGAGCAGCTGCAATGATCCTTAAACATAAAATTAAAAAATAATGGGAAACCTTTAGCGTCCCAAATAGAAATACACTGCATATTTCTAGTTTTGCCATATTGGCACATGCATGTTAAATTCTTATGTTTTTATGTTTCTTTCTAGCTCACAGCTTTAGCCATGCTGATGTTGGACCCTTATTATAGAACTCTCAAAGGATTTGAAGTTCTAATCGAGAAAGAATGGCTCAGTTTTGGTCACAAATTTCACCTGGTAAGAATTTCATTGTTCATTCTTCTCTTCTTCTTCTTTTTTTATTTCCTTATTTTGAATTTCATGATTTTTAATTTTTCCAATCACAAGAAAGAGGAAGCAATGACATTTATATTTTCTCTGTTTTATCTAGACAATGATGTCTAGATAAACAACAACTTCCATCTCACTTTTCTTGTGTGTTCATCAGTTTGAAAATAGTACTTAGAATTCCTAAAAAATTAGTGTAGTCCAATAACCAGGAAACCAAAGGACCAAAAAAATCGATGCAACCAACTGTAACAATAAAACTGAAGGTGTGTATCAAAGCTTGGAAGCCCTTTGACTGTTCATAATGGCTTACTGCGGTCCATGGAGAATTCAGAATAACCCATTTTAATATTATTCATAATTGCATTCGAACCTACTGATGAAGGTTGCAGGATTCTGTGATTAAATCGTCTACTCTAACTTGAGCAATTTGAAAAAAAAGTACTGGTTTTTAGTATATTTCTAAGTTGATGAATCTGTGTTTCCAGCGAATCGGACATGGCTCAGACAATCATTCAGATGCAGATCGTTCACCGATCTTCCTTCAATTCATCGACTGTGTTTGGCAAGTGACGCAGATGTTTCCAAATGCCTTCGAGTTCAACGAGTTTTTCCTCATCAATATCATTGATCACATGTACTCCTGCCGATTCGGAACATTTTTGTTCAATAGGTATGCCTCCTGTAATCATTTTTTATGCTTTCAAAGAACAAAATCAAGCCAAGTAAATTAAAAATATGAATTTGAACTTACCTTTTTGTTGTCTTTCTCACCAGCCGATCGTTCAGACAGGCAGGCAGACAAGCAATCAGACAGACAGGTATAAGATGAAATCAAGAAATTCCAATTATGACCAAGTTCGCACCAAACTAATCATCAGGCGAACAAGAAAATATTGAAATATGTAATGAAACCTAATCACAAAACGAAGATACTTAAATGAAGATTTTTTGCTTAGCACAGACTAATGTTAATGAAATTACAGAAAACCAATTAAAAATGAAATTATTCTCCCTATTTAAGATACAATTTTAGAAATTAATCGTTGATTCTGTCACTTGTCACTCTAAGTGACAAATCTTACAGTTTCAATCTCAACCCATTATTTTCTACATCTTTGAGAACTCCAAAAGTTGGCCCAACTATAGATTTATATCGAAATTACAATTTACAAATATTATATGTTTATCTGTAAATTTGCAGCGACAGGGAAAGAACCAATGAAGGCGTCAAACAGAAAACGGTATCATTATGGTCTTATTTAAATTCATCAATTGATCTCTACAGAAACCCTCTCTATCATCCTCAGCCACATGTTCTAGAGCCAATAGCATCCATGAGATATATTCAGTTATGGAAAGGCTACTATTGTCGATGGAATCCTAGCATGAGGCCCCAGGTATGTATATTCAGATTGACACAGAAACCTTTCAAAAAGAAGATTTTTGTCCTTCCACACTCTATAGCAGTGAAGATTTTCCTTGCAAAATAATTACATAGTGTATTTAAGATGGTCAAGACATCTTCAACCAGTCCTTGGACAGAAAGACAACCTACTTTTATCAGATGGAAGAGGAGAAGCAGTCTGTAAAATCCCTCATTAATTAGACAGATTTACGCAAAAAACGTTAGTCTAAGCAGAGAATACCTAGCGCATGGACTTTTCTCTCAGAAATTTGTCCTCTTGCTGTAAAAGAAAATGTTAAAAGTCCAAAGTTTTAATTTTAATGAACTAAAGAACGTAACATATTTTTGCTTATTTTTGATCAAGGAAATTTTCAAACTTTGGTAGAAAAATTATCATTCGTTGGATTTGTATCATAGAAAAAAAGCAATAACAATGAGAAGGTACAAATATTCACATGTATTGCTGTTGGAAGAGACGCAATTTGTGATTGGATATACTTGGGTTCCCCCTTTTTTTCTTTCCTTGATAAATGTTTCAAGCCTGTGCTAATTTTGCCTGTGTGGCAGTTATTCCAGAGTCATAAGTAATCAATCGAAATGATTACAGGTGAAAGAACTATGATGTCATCAATTTCAAAATCGGAATTGATCTTTTGACTTCATTTTTCTTACTAGATGGAAGAATTTTTCTTTTTTATTTAAAAATCTCTAATATTCTTGACATTTTTACAGGATCCTATTTACCAAAGAACACGGGAGCTTCTCGTGCTGAAAGAGCAGCTAGAAAAGAACCAAGAGGACTGTCGGAAAGAGCTGAGGTCTCGCATTTCACGCTCAATTGGCTCACCATCACGATTGGTTGCATCACCAAAGCACTAGTAGCTCAAAGGTAATCAATTGATTGATTTTTCCTTTCCTGCAACTTCAAGGGGGCCTGGCTAAATACATGTAGGGCTGTAGCTTTGCTGCGAACTGTGCCTCAGTTCATTGATCTTAAACTGTAGAGGCAAAAAAGTCTTGCAAAAAGAATGTATGAAAGTAAGAGAAAATGTATGTCTGGAAAAGTGAGCAAATTGGACAGAAAAAATGCATAAATCTGGATACATTCAGAATGGTTGGTTTTGAAGTACCTCATTAAAGTCAGTAAACAAATATTTTTGTGCACAGCAGTGAAAGTATGAGGATTTTCTAAATAAATATACCTATCAGAAAATTTCAGTGAACTATCAAGAGAAATTAGGGATTTTGGAAGTGAAAAAAAATATAGATATTTATTTCTTCCTGTTGAAGAGGAACCATTTGCTGGGTTGATTACTTACGTGTGATTTACTTTAGCTGTTTATAACACTAAGCATTAAGGAACAATAAACCAGCAAGAATCGCAGGGATATTTTGCCTACCTTTCTCATTGAATACACCCTTTGAAAGTGGAGCAATTAGATGCAGTCAATATTTCATTGAAATAGGTCAAATAATTATCAGGCAAAAATGACACAAATTTTTGCTTCTTAAATCTCGGAATATCTTGTAAGGCTTTCTTTCTTGACCTGAAAAAGAAACACATTAATTTTTTCATGAAATTAAACTTGAATGCATTCCAATTCTCCCATAAGTAAACTGGACCAAAAAAAAATGTAGGCTCTTCGTTTTATACAATTGACCAAACTTGAAACTGAATACTTTTGTTTATGTGAAATTTGAAGATGTCCGATAACTGCATCAAAGGCATTTTCAGAACCACTAAGAACAAACTGTTGCTCCTATTTTTTATGTAACATCTTCCGTGATGCACTGACATTTTCTTGAGATGATGTCAGTCGCTACTGCTTCTCATTTATAGCCCTTTTAGAGACTCTTTCAGTTTCTTACTTCCCGATTATTACTGCTTAATTTTAAAATTGCAAAGCTTATATATATGGCATAAGTATTTTCACGAATTCACTGGGCCTGTATGTCACCTTGGCTCCATCAAGCAAATAAGAATTTGACAGGCCATCATTAATTTTTTCTTTGAAAAATTTTTGAGACTGCGGTTAGTTGGGGATCGCTTGTATCATTTAGTGAGCCAATCACCACAAGGTTGAATTCAATTCTCTATGCTTAAGTGCTGATTCCACAGCTCGTGGTCAATAAAAAGTAAAATGATAAAATAATATGTCATACTCTATAGGAATGCTCCTTAACTATCGAAAATTCCGAGTTAAATTTATTCTGTCAGAGGTTTCTGGTGGCTAGTCTTTGTTGACTTTGTTTTGGGGAGCAAAATAAAATTGTGGATGATTACAGACCAAAGGTATCCTCTCTGAAAAAAGTTAGAGATGACTACATAGTCAGAATCCCCCCAATAGTGGCTCTTTTTTGCTCATCGAAGTTCATTTAAAATGTGCCTTATTTCACCTAATTTATGGCCTAGTGTGTCAACTCGTCCTTATGACCCCCCCCCTATATTCTTGTTTTCTTTTAAAATTTCATCAAATTATGTTCGTTCTGTTACCTGTCTCAAGCATTTTAATCTATTTGTCTTCATTGTGACATTGTTACTATTCAGTCATTTCAATGTCATTTTATGAAGAATGGGAATGGGCCAGTTGCGCTGGCAACAGAATCGAGTTTTGATGCTTGATTCTTGTAGATTAACTAAAAATAAGAAGATCTGTCCGAACAGCAACTTTCCATGTTCAATATTAACGGAGATGTCGTCTTTTGAAAAGTTCGGTTTTTTATGTCATCCACCACTGTAGTGCATAACATAGTATTTCAGTTAATATTGATCGTAGAAAGTTGCTGTTTGGACGGATCTTCTTATTTTTAGTTGATCTGCTAGATTAAAACATGGAAACACGATTTTGTGACCAGCGCAACTGACCCATTCCAAACCTGGCACTTTACAAGTCGGCAACACTGTTTTACTCATGTTAAATTCATCAAAAATGTTGATTTTAGGTGAGGCAAGCCAAGATTCAAGAAGCCAAGTGATCTAGAATCGATTGTTTTACATAATTTAAATGAAGGGAAAACTGAAAAACAGTGTTGCCAACTTTCAAGGATTGCCACTTGTACCTAAGCATCAGCCTTGTGGGACACGACGGTACCTATTAAAATTTAAGAATTGGATCTTACAGATTGTCCACATTTTCAAGATTATATTTTGAAAAACTAGTTCTTTAGAAAACTGGTTTTATAATTACATATCAACAGTGTAAGTCGGCAATCACGTAACACAGTTTGCAACGTCGCAGACTTCCCGTCATACTTTATTTTTCTAACGGAAAACTACTCAACAGCAATTTTTTAAAACTGCCGTGATTTTTCTTCTCTGTGCGAAGAAAATTCTGCAAAAACTTTAAGGAATAATGTCAATTTGTTCTCTTTTAAAAAAAATAACATAGAGGCGGAGATTTTCAGACTCTGCAAACAAGATATGTGATTGCGGACCTACGCTGTTGAAATATGGTTTTTATACTTTATAGTTACACGTATGTAGTTGTATTTTTTGTTTTTAAATTTAGCATATTAAGTTGAAGTCATCCTTTGTTTACTAATTTTGTATCTATGTATTTATGATGTATCATATTTTTATAAGTTAGAGTGCATTTTTGTTATGATTATTGATCAGTTGATTTTTTAAATGAATAATAAACCAAAGCTTCAGGAAAGTCGGTTTCGTTTTTTGCTGATGAAACTTAACTACGATCGCCAAGTGTGGTGCCTGAAAATAAGACAGGAATGATTTTTCATTTAGGTTTTCAAATCAATTTCTCATCAATCAACTTTCTTCTATGTTTTTAATGGACGCACTCTCGTCCTTCTAATTTTTTTGTTTCTCTTGTAATATCTGGCTCTCCTCAAAATCAGCTCTTTCGCTCAGTCCCCTTTCATTAGCTCAGCCTAACAACAACTAATGAATCATTTAAAGCGGTAAAGCCCAAGCTCATTATTTCACCACCATTGGTCAGGGGTGTGTAAACTTCCGGATCATTTGATCATTGTTGCATGCTTGTTCGTGTTCGCCTAAAAAATTTGGGAGGCTTCCCTGCAGTTACTGAAGGAGAAATTTGTGCCTGTTGAAAAATTGCAGCTACTCATATAAATGAAGGACGGGAAAAAAAAAAAAAAAAAAAAAAAAAAAAAAAAACTTAGTTGTGAAAATTTTGGGGAAATAGGTTTTCAAAGTTGAGTAGTATATTCGAGAGATGTATAGGCCAAGAACTTTCTGCACCCCTGCCATTGGTGGTAATACAATTTGGATCAAAGTAAGGGAAAGACAAAAGAGTTTGCAACTTCTCATCTAAATTTTTAAATTTTTTATTTGCAGTGACAAATTCATACTACGCATACATTGCTTATCTTTTCAATTTTTCTATTTTACACAAATAAAACAAAAAAAAAATTATTGCATCATAAATAGTTCCATAGAAAATGCTTTTAGAAAAAGAACTTATATTTAAGAAACAGGATAGGAAGAGTGCTAAAACCAATATCGACAACATTCACAGCTACAAAGTGTCAACGTCTTCAATCATGTCTGTAAGAAATGCCAATTTGAAATAAACAGATTTGCATGGCATGATTTAATTTCAATTATCAGTTTGATTAGAATTACCAACTTGTTTGTGAGCTTCGAATCATAGCATTATATGCTGAAGTATGTCAAATTATCTGAATTAATTTATCTTCATGTAAATTTTTAAAATTTATCTTTCGCTCTTGGAATATTATTGTCCTATCACCATAAGTTCTCTTTTTACAAAAGTTAAACTTTCTATCCAGAAACTTATAGCTCATCAAACTGTATCATTGTTGCACAAGTAAAGTCCCTGTCAAAGGTACTGCTTAACACATAATAGTCAAAAACTGATTCAAGAAGTGAAATACCTAAGACATTGACATTTACACAAAAATAAGAAAACAGATAGAAAAAAATATTTATGTAATTGTTAAAGAGGATCAAAGTAGAAATTTTAAAGAACAAAGTAGATCAGCCAAGGAATTATAATTTTACGTACCTCTTCTATCATTTCTGAAAAAGAAAAGGAGTACACTGAGACAGTAATCTACTGTTGGTAACTCCTTTTGAAAAATAAATAGTGATCGTCGCCTTGAGAGAGCTGTTAATTACCACTTCAATGGTAAGATTAAAAAATCAAGTGTGTATTGTAACTGAAAATGTTCGCTGTGCATATTTTCAAGACTTAATTAATGAACATTTTCACAGGGAACTTTGAGTGTACATTCTTAAAACTGCAGAGTAAGATCACTCAAATTTACAAAGTAATAATACCAGCTCTCCCGCATTAAAATAAATTGAGGCAAGAAACTCGCAAAAGCACAAGCTGCGTTGCGCGTTTTCCTAATCCACCATTGACAAATGAACCATGTGAATGTGTCTCTTGTGATAAACTTCTTACTTTTCTTCATTAAAACAATACAACTATTTTTCAGAGTTGCTTGGAAACAGATCAAAAACTTGTATTTTACAGAAATAGTAAAATCTCAACAATATAATAATGTGTATTTACAATAAAATTTTTACATCTTTGTACAAAATAATAGAAAGAAGTCTAATCGGTGAAATTCAGTATTTTTAAAATACCTGAGGGGAGAAGGGAAAATGATGCTGATATTAAAGAAAGAAATGCACAAAATTTACACTTGCTCAGTGGTACTGTACCTCTGAAATAACAAAGTAAATACATATTTAGAAATATAAGAAACAAATTTCTTGCCAGTCTGATGATCTGGTAATTTATATAAACACAATTTAATTTGTATTCATTTTGACTAGTTAGCTTTCAAAAATTTATACATAATATTTACAAACGAAATTCAGTTGAAAATATCTACAAATAAAACATCTAAATCGGGGTGGGAAATTACTTACTTATGCGCATTTCATTTTGCGCAAATGTACACTTACTTAAATTAACAAACCTCTCGGCCGTTGTAGCTATCTAAGCTGTATTAAAATGTGAAACGTACAAAAGGGTGGAAACAAAATAAAATTAAAAGAACGTGACATGATATGTTTAGTCATACTAGAATTCAAATCTTCTCCTACTATCAAAATGAGGGCAACTGATTTGGACAACAATTCATTTTCCATGAGAGATATTTCCTGAGTATCTACAAGCGCCAGAGAAGAATCATTGCTTTCTCAATTTGGGAAGCCATAAATTAAGATTGCAATACAGCTGGCCATGTAACTTCCAAAGATACCAGTAAATCAAGCAAGAAAATAATATTACTCGCTTTTTCAAGAAATTTACTGTTTTTCTCCTTGATTTTGATGTTTTCTAGACCTCTAGATACTCAGATTTTGCACAGGATTCATAATGTATACAACATAATAACAAGAAACAACTTTTCTACATGTGCTGGTCCACCTGAAACTGTACAGACAAAAAGTGCAAATACTTAAATCCAGTGTTGATGAGAGAACTCATTCAGTTTTCATCTCTTTATAGTTACATATATTGCTTCAAATCGTTAATGAAAAAAAAAATGGACTCTCATGAAATCTTGAGTTTCCAGTATAGCCCTAGAGTGGGTACCGCATCAGTTTTATCAATCTAATTGTTCCCAAGTTTATGAGTATGGGACTAAGTACATAATATTTCAGTAAGTATTTTGTGCCATAATTGTGCATTGAAAAATTTTATCTCGGAAAGCAGATAGTAGGAACTGTTTTGAGCTTTTCGTCAGTCCATTCAAGATTGCCTTATTCTATGTAGATGTAGACAAACACTGATTTTTGGTTTGTGTATTTCGCCTGATAATTGATAAAGTATCAGGACCTCCTCTGAAGATATTTAATAAATAATAACAGAAATTTTGAAGGAATAATTCAATTAAACCTCAGTTAAACTAATAAGACCATTAAGTTGTGTTTGTACGGATTGTTGCTTTCATCCTTTGTTTTTTTACATATTTATTTATTTTTCTTTACAAAAACCTATTTGTAGTCAAATGGAGGCTGCCGTTTTTTCTCTTTAATTTTCTTCAGCTGAGTTTAATATTTAATACTGGGCAAAATTAGGCGCACAGCAATGAAGAACAACATATAACGATAATAGATAACCAAAATTAGCAGAAAAACCTTGAAGAGTAAAAATATTAGTGACAAATGTTCTCTTGGCAAATCCTATTATTGGGTACGGGTTTTAAGGGTATCAAGTATAAAAATAAATGACACTACTGTTGCTAGAGATAATATATGATCTACATAGACTATAAAAGTGATATTATATACTTAAAAGACTTTACTGAATGTAAAATAATACTGGTAGTATTATCACGTATTCAGGTAAAGTTAAGGCATCTCAAAGTTCCATCTTGAAGGCAACTACGTGAATACCTTAAAATTTTTCAAGTATGAGAAAATGAATAAAAAGAAAAGATAATGCGAAAAGAAAGAACCCAACAAAGTAAATAAAAGCCTTTATAATTATGTTATGTGAGGTTAAAATGTTCTTCTAGTCAAAGATTTTAAGTTGACATGATGCAGTCATATGCATATGAATACAAACATCCAAAAGGGGTCAGACAGTTTATTTGAAGAATGGTTTAATTGCTTCAGAGATCCCATTGCATTTTTATCCTCCTCAGATGAGCTAGCCAATCATCAACTTTTTTGAGTTCTACACTAATAAACCTCTTTCCTCCCTCAATTAAAAGACAGATTAGGATTGAACGTAATCTTATGTTTTCAAGATTAGCATGCAGAAATTATTAACATTTTTTAGTTCATATAGACTAAATTGCATGAGAAAACGATAAAAATAATGGATGTAGGGGTATTGATTTTACTGCAAATAGGAAAATGAAGGATATCATGAATAAGAAATTATTTAAAGACGAACATTAACCTCACAACGAAATCAACAATTTTAAATTGTAGACCTTTAAATATGTATTTTGATAAAATAATTTTTTCAAAAATTAAAATGATGCCCACTAATCTAGTAGGAAAGAAACGGAAAAAACACTTATTTACTTTTATAGGCACTCAGAGGGTTGTACATTTCTCCATGGTTTGGGAGTAATGTACGGGAAATTTGGGACATATATACAGGTATAAAGAGTTGGTTTTGTTCTATTTGGTAGGTTTTTACACTTATGAAGGATAGACAACTAATCAATTGACTCGCAAATCTTTCATGATCAATGAAAGAAAAAAATAATTACTCAAGAATGAATTGAATTTCAGCTCAAAATTACCTAAATTCTGTTGACGGATGTTTGACATTCTTAATTGACTCCATTTCAGAAGGTGCCCTCTCATAAAGAATACTGCTGTAGGTTTTGGAAACAACTATATTAATAATGTAAGCTGCCCCAGAGGTCACCTCTTTTTTTCATTCAAAGAATGAAAAGTACTCTGCTATATTTTGTAACACAGACAAGTGAATTCGATTTATTAAAAGTGCAGTCTTTGACAGCTAGGTTGTCAATGGATGGCTAGCATTGAGTGTGTACTTGCAGGATGCCTCCATACCACATAGGCGGCTAAAAACTAGATTTTTACTCATTTAAAATGGCTATTTTTGAACACCAAGCAGTTTAGCGACATCGTCAGGTGATTTCGAAAGCAGCATTTTATCAATTATAGACTTATCGTGTATGCCCAATAAATTACCGATCAAGTCATTGCCTTCATCACAGTCACCTCTAAGACCCTTCGGCCCTTGAGCATTGTGGCTTTTCCAGAACTTGAGGGAGTTCGTGAAAACAGCTTTAAATGGCGAGTTTATGTTGTTGTTATTGTGATTAATCACCGGTACGGGCAGTTTTGAAGCTAGGAGGCCATTATCATCGTCACTGTGAGCTGAGTGGTCATCGGTCAGCGGGTTCTGCACGAAATTGTTGCCTGAAGAATGCTTCTTGCGATGTCTCAGCATGCTGTGCTTCAGAGTGAACCTGCGGTCGCAGATATCACATGAGAATGGACGCTCACCTGTATGAGTTCGCATGTGCCGTCGAAGATCCTCCGCTGACCAGAAACGGCGCAGGCAAAAAGCGCATTTCACCTGAGGAATAAAAATGTACATAGGTCAGTCCAGAGATTGATAATATTTGACCATCTTTGGGTAGAGGAACTCTAATGTAAAAACCACTCAGAATTAAGTTATTGACCACGGAAATATTTTAAAAATATCTACCCTAGTAGCAACGACTGAAAAAACAATTTTTAAAAAAACTCTAAATTTCAAAAAGCCAGCCCTTGGAAAAACTATTAAGATATTCGTATTAAGAGACCCTTTTTGGCTAGTTTTTTACGTAAAATTTACGAGCGGTAAAATTCAAGTAAAAAAGTGTTTAAAATACTCTAACAATATCAACTGTGGTTTTACACAAATGTTTGAAAAAATTTTAAAAAATTACAGTGGTATTATAGGAGTTTTTTGAGAAAAATTCCGCAAATTTTACTTTAAAAAAAATAGCCAAAAGCGGTTTCCTAATATGAAAAGTGTAACATTTTTTTAAGAGTTTCTGAAAAATGTTTAAAAGGTCATTGCAACTAGAATAGCCAACAAAAACATTCTTAGGTCATCAGGGCCGGATTAAGGGGGTGGCCACAAGGGCCGCGGCCCATGGCGGCAAAATTAGGGGGCGGCAAAGTTTGCAATTTTTTAAACGCAGGTACAAAAAAATCGGATTCCGAAAAATATTACAAACAAGAAAATGTGACAAAATCTCTCATTTCCTGAGAGTTCATTACTTTCTAATTTTGTCGTATTTCGGTGATACAAAAGATTGCGCACCTTTAATTAGTTGAGTTAAGAGAGAAACCAAACACGTAATTTGGCCTAGAGCGGCGCGGCGCAAAGAGAAATGATGGCGAGGACTTGAGATGAAAAGGAGGCTTCTCCTTCGACGCGGCGGTCGGCATGTAACACATATTAGCGCCTACGAGACTACATGAATACTTCACGCATTGCGTCAAACACAGTACGGTCAACAGCGGTCGGCGCGGCGTGAAACGCACAGTGCCTACAAGACTACATGAATACTTCACGCATTGCGCCAAACACAGTGTGGTCAGCGCGGCACGCCGGCGGAAGTTGAAATTATTAAACCACATTTATGTTTGTTCTTTTTTAATTGTTTAGTTCATTTCTTACAAATGAAAGGCCTTGTCCCCACAGAGATAGGTTTACGGAACTGAACTTTCGACCGAAGTTCCGTGAACTTTTGCTAGTAGTGTTGACAGACCTTACGCAAAAAAAAGTGTCCGACACGAGTGAACGCGTGTTATGCACCCTTCTCCCTCCGGCACGTTCACTTGATGGTTTTTATTGATGTTTCAAAATGAACGAGAAGAGGGCGGCAAAATACAGGCGGCCCATGGGCGGCAAAGTAGGTAAATCCGGCCATGTAGGTCATACAATATTGGAATTAGATTGTCTGAAGATTGCAGTTTAGAAATCAGAACTAAGAGTCTAAGTCATTTTAAGTCTTTATCTATCATTTTTGGGGATGAAAACCGTCGAACTAAAATTCAATTTTACACTTCCTTAATTTGCAAAAGGAAAAAAATGGAACCTCTCCTTACTTTTCAAAAATACTGGGGAGCAGTAATTATTGAAAACTGATTGAAAATGTCTGTTTTTTCCCCAATTACGAGTATTTTAAAAATTGCTCTCTTGAAAATTGAGACAAGAATTGGCCGATCAAGTTAAAATTATGCACTTACCAACGCCATTCCCAAATAGCACAGCCGCACAGTAGCAATTGCGTTGTAAAAATATTGCAATTTACTGAGTGTTATGTATGTTGCCTACCTCCTATTTGAAGGGGCCCCGTTTATTGAAACTTATTGCAATAAGATTAAAATAAGTGATAATTTTTTATTGCATTGCAAATTGCCTATCTCTTTGACACGTGGAGCTCATTTTGTTGATTGTTTAAAATTGGCATGAATCAGCTAAATAATGTAAAAATATTGCAAATTAATGATGACAAAAATTACAATTTTATTGAAATTAAGTCGCAATTTAATTTCAACATTTTCGTTGCACTGTGCTACTTGGGTCATACAAGGTACCTAGCTGTTTAACCTCATTTGTTCGTGACCTATAATTCAAAATATCAAGTGATATAATACTGAAAATTGTAAAATTAACAGCTTTAAGTCGGTACATTGAAACTTACCTTGCGGTTAGCATAATCAGGAAACTTTCCTCTCAGCTGTTCAATATTCTCCTCTCCATGGGTCGAGTTTTCTTCTATATGCGAGTTTTCCTCGTTAACAAATCCATTGGCATCGAGAGCACCTTTTGAGATGAGCAACTGGAATTCTGTCGAGTGCCGGTCCCGAATATGATCCAAGGCCTCGTGCCTCTCAGCGTAACTACTGTCACACAAGTGGCATTTGAACGGCAAATCCGTCGACCCTGGCACAACTGAAACCTGGTCAATCGTTGGTGTAGAAGAGTCCACTGTCGGCTGAAGGAGCAGTGGAGGATTGTTGGACCGGCTCTCTACCTCAGAATTGTGTCTCTCCTCGGGGCGAGGCGAGTCTTTGACAACATCTATTTCCTCGCTGCTCCCCTGACTTTCGTACTCGCTGAAGTTGCCATCGCGTTGTTCGTTCTCGCAATCGCTATGGTTGCCACTGTCAAGTCTCTCACTTTCTACCGGTTTTCCATTGTGTTTCTCGGACATGTGCTTCTTGAGGTTGTCTAGCGTAGAGAAGGTTGAACTTGGGCAGTTTTTACATTTGTAAGGTCTCTCTGGGACGTTGCGGGTCGTGAAATTGAGTGCTGAGTTGGGCTTGTTGCAATCGACGGGGTTCACCTCGGCGGCTTGGACTGGACTGCTGTGTTTGCGCTGTAAATGTCTGTCGCAGTTTGACTTGGTGGTGAATAAAAGAGGGCACTGGGGACATTTGTAGGGCTTTTGACCCGTGTGGGTCAGAACGTGGCGGCGGAGAGAGGATGTCCAAGGGAACTTCCTGCTGCAATATGGGCATGACACTCGGTTCGGTGCCAAGGAGTAAGCGCTTTTTTTCTTTACTTGACCTGTGCTGCTGTTCTCTGGCTCCGACCTGCAACAAATCCAATGGAGATTTAATATTTGAATTTCCAAAGCCAAAAAACGGTATATAATTGGACGGAGTTAAACAGAAAGGAACCAAGCCACATCGGGATCGAACCGAGAAAAAGAGGTTTAAAGTTTGGCTCCTGCATAAGACTCAATGTAAAAGTTAAGCTTCAAGTTCAATTTCTACAAAATTTGCTCCAACAAAAACTTTGAATTTTTGGTGATAGTTAGTAGAGCAGTGGTTGAGTTCAAAACCACTCATAACTCAATTTTCTCCAAAATGTGGGTTGGTTCCTTTCTGCTTAACTCAGTCCAATTGGAGTTAAATCGACGGTGAAAATACCAGACCACGTATCTCGGTTTGTGACGTCGCAGACTTCCTGTCATACTTTATTTTTTAAATAGAACACTACTCAACGTCATTTCTTAAAAACTTACGTGATTTTTCTTCTCTATGTGAATTGGTCTCTCGATCATTAAAATGCCTGATTCTCAAAACAATGCCTACCTCTAATCTAGGTATTCACCCTCTGTTAAAAATGTCCCATGGGTTCCCATGAAAATTTCATGGGGAATCATGGGAATTGCATGGGGACCTGATGGGAGCTCATGGGTATACCCGAGGAAAAGACTGGGATTCCCATGGGGAAGACTGCTAGGGTGACCATAGGGAAGACTAGGGTGCCCAGGAGGAAGCAGCAAGTTTTCTTTTCATACTCTGCAATTTAATTGCTGTCAAAAATATCCCACGGGGGCACATGGTAATTTGACCAAAAAAAACCGGGGTCTCCATGGGCAGCACATGTTTAACAGGAATTAAATTGCAGAGTATAAAAAGAAAACTTGCAGCTTTAATATCGCAACTCACCCTTTGTTTCACATTAGGATTAGTCAAACTTTATAAAGTTATTGCTCAACCTATCCCTGGTAAAAATTGGCAGTAGAATCTGTGTTCCAAAATACCATAGACCTACGGCCGGCTCTAAGATTTCCAATAGCTTCTATAGCCGGCTACACAATTTCTTATAGCCTTTTATAGCCGATGGCGATTAAGCAACTCACAGCCAGGCGATAAAGTGTACGCTAAACGTCACTAATTGCGGATGCTAGGACCTAGTGAGTTTTTGGACCACTGCTCTCTTTTTGGGCCGATAGTATCTTGATTTATTTTGCGATGAAAGCTCCGTACTTTTGATGCATGCCTGCCATTCCTAATATATTAGAGCGCCTTCAGTTTCGTATGATACTGTGCAATACCTCTGGTGTGAAATAGTTGCTTCAAGTGGCACGCTGCGGTGCGGCAGGCGGGCAGCCAGCGCGAAAGGCGCATTGGCGCCTACAAACCTAACAGGGATACTTCACGCGTTGCGCAATGCGTGAAGTATCCCTGTTAGGTTTGTAGGCGCCAGTGCGTCGCCGCTCCGCTTTGCGTTAGGCTCTAATATTTAATCTGGCGGAGTCAGCGTTATTCAACTCATGATTTTATATGTATTTGCACATCCTGTATGGATTATTCTCGTTTTAATTGATGAAAAAAAATATGTATTAAAGGAAAATATAACGTGTGTTTTGTAAATATTAAGGTGGCTCCGTATCAAACTTAATGATTTCCAAAGCACACGACTTTCTACACAATTTCTTATTGGCGAAAAAGCAATAGCCAGGTGCAATAGCCAAAGTGTAAAGCCCGGCGATAGGAACTATAGCCCGGCTGCATAATTTTTTATCGCTTCGTATAGATTTTCTCCGCATTCTACAGCCAGCAATATGATTTTCTGTAGCCTTCTTTAGCCGGCTATAAGAATTCCTATGGTATTTTGAAACGCAGCTCTTATCGCCAATTTTTACCAGGGATTTAATGCAGCTTTGAATTAAAGATAGTTAGAATAAGCTTGTTTTCCTATGCTGCATTTCAAAATCGATTAATTTATTTGTAGAGGGACTTAATTTCACAAAATTTGCTAAACTTGCCTCAAAGTGCAGTTATAAATGAGCGGACCATTCAGAAAATCTTCCAAAAAAATGATCTGAGTTGGGCTAGTTGTAAAGGAAAATCTCTCCTTTTCTGAAAAATTTTTTCAGTTGTCCTTCCAAGAAACTCTTTCGATGAATTTTACTGAATTTGATCGATTATGGGAGGATTCTCCTTTCCAATAAGGGAATTTTCCTAGCTACCTATCGATGCGTCTGTAACCTGGACTACATTTTGCAATTAGGAACTATAAATTCCAGCCCGGTTCAAAAACAACGTATGTGCCCTTAGTTTCCCTATGCACATAAGTGTTTTTTCAGATGAGCCAGAATTTATAGGTCCAAATTGCACAATGCAGTCCAACTATCCTTCTCAATTTTAAAACATTGCGATGAATCCATGCTCCTGTGCAAGCAAATGGATCCAATTCGGTTAGAAAAATCAAAATGGTATCAACTAATCAACTCACTTGTTCTCATCACTGCCGGAGATATTGCCCTCGCTGGTGCTGCCAGGCATGAAACCCTCCTCCTCCTCTTCACTCGCTTCACCAGCCGCATTCTCATCCTCGGCCTTAAAGAACTGCTTGAAGGTTTGCGTCGATGCATTATCCAAGATGCGAGAAACGCTAGCCAAATCTGCATTTTCCTCTTTCTTTGGCGTCGAAGTAGATTTCTTCTCCTCCTCCTCTTCTTCCTTTATTTCCGGCACCTCCAAAGATTTCTCCTCTTCTTCTTCATCGATCACCAGTTCTTCCATATCTTCGTCGTCTCTGGACTCCTCCTCTCCAGCATCAGATTCGTCATCCCTCTCCTCATGCTGGAACTTGGATTTCAACTGCTGAGAAATGGCGAACTTCACCTCATCGGAGATACCTATGTACGGTTTCGATTGGAAATTCAACTCCAAAGATCTTTCACTCGAGTTCCGTTGGAAGGAATCGCTTTCTTCATTGGATGTAAGGGAGTGTCTGCTGTTGCTTTGAGCGTAACTCGCTGGGAAAGGAATGATGAGACCTGCATGAGGCTCGTATAAAGGAGCCTTCAGATAGCCTCCTCGCCCACGCGATCCATTGCTTCCTCTCTGTCGCTGACTCCAGTACTGGGGGTGTTGTTGTTTGATGTGCCGCTCCATGTTGGAGCGCAAAGTGAACCTTGCAGAGCAATGCTCGCAGGCGAAGGGCCGTTCGGTGCGGTACCTGCGTTGCTTCTGCTTCGGGATCAGCATCCCATTCTTGATTACCATTTTGATGGAGGATGATGGGTCGTTCTTCAAAGACTTTGGTAATTGCGTGATATTGTCGGGTGATTGCTTTTCTTGGGTCATGAAATTTGTCATCTCTTGAGTTGCGGGTGGCTGACCCAGATCGGGTGACTTGGCCGTCGGAGAGAAGGATTTCGTCAGCGATTCGTTTTTAGCAGACTCCATTTGTCGATTGAACTCGGCCAGCGCGTGCTGTTGTAAGGCTTGGAATCTGTCCGCTGCTGAGACGACGGATAACTGGTCCAGCATCAATGAGCCACCAGAAGTTAGCTGGAAGCCGCGCATTATCTCTTTCTGCCACTGCTCTTTGGCCGCCGCGAGTTCTGGTGTTGTCGGGGAAAACATGAATGGGGGAGGTGGCAGGAGGTATGGTGGAAACGGCGCGGCAGCAAATGGGAAAGTAGGACCGGAGCCCAAGTAGGGTGGGTGTGAATTGAGATTCAAGTTGTTGGCGTACAAGTTGCTCAACAAATTTTTCGGATCAGTTTTTCGGTATGCGCTCTCAGACGGCGAAGCTCTCTGTTCCTCTTTCAGCGACTTCACTTCATCCGATAATTCAGCGTTGTTCGTAAAATTAGGAGAGCTAGATACCCTGTCCAATTTTGCATAGGTTGACTTCTTAGACAAGTCTTGTGGAGCGTGCTGTTCTTCATCGTCCAAATTGTCCTCCGTCTCAAAGTCTTCATCCTCAGAAGCAGAAAAATCTGAATTCCTACTCTTATTGCATTTTTCAGCGGACAAGCTCACATCACTATCGTCTCTCTTCTTCTTGCTCAAATCCAGGACATCCATGGACAAATCTAAGGGATGGTGGTTCAAACTTTCATGCTGCAAACTTTCACTCTCTACAGATTTAAAAGTCTGATCGAGTTCATTTCTCTCACTGTCCTCGTCATCTGAGGAAAGGGAGCTTTCGTCCAGATGGGGTTTCTTTATTTCGATATCATCTCGATCGTTATCGCTCCCTGGTCGCTTGAGCTCATCAGAGTGATGGGACAAAGGTGGAGTAATTGTCGAACGCTCTGGAGATTCTTTTTTGATATCCGGTAAAAGCGTCCTGTCGATCATTGCTTCCGTTTCCTTTCCAGGATTTAGAGTATCTTGGTACTCTGCAAAAAGTAGACGTTTTACATTTTTCATATCCGGTATACTGTTAGTAGAGTCTTCAGATGGGTGATAGATAATTGACTTCTTCACCTCCTCTCGCGACGCTTTCGCATGCCTGTTCTTCAGATGTCTTTCGCAGTTGGCTTTGGTCGTAAATGCGTAGCGGCAAATGGAGCATTGGTAGGGTCTCTCCCCGTTGTGGGTCCGCATGTGACGTATGAGCGCCGCTTTATCCGTGTTCTGGTGAGGGCACATGTTGCAGCGATAAATGCCGTTGCTCGGGCTATTGGTTAAATGAATCCTATTATGACCTTTGAGTGCTCGCAAGTTCGTGAAAACCGACTTGCAAAGGCGGCAAGGGAACTTGCCTTCTAACTTCATCTTCCGGAACTCGGCCGCAAAGCAGTCTTGCTGTTCTTCCTCGGCGTTGAGATCAAAATTCCTGGAGCCCGAGTCTGGAGGGGTCACTTCTAAGCTGGACGGCTGAGGGGATTTAGACAGGTCCGTTATGAAGTTAGCCGAGGTGACATTGATGATACTTTGGATATCGGCCAGGTCTTTGTTTTCTAGGGTTCCGTTCATGCTCAGAGCCCGTTTAAATAAATGCAATTTTTGTGGAGAGTTGCTAGGAGATAAACTCGATGATCTGTTTTGTAAATCTAAACCTGCGAAAAAGCTGTCACGCTTTTTGTCCTCTTCCGTGGAGCTCATTGAATAGTTCCATTTTCTGAATGACTTGGAGCTCAGATCCGTAGGTCCCTCGTTCTCGCTGGAAGAAACGTCTCCCTGCTCAATGTAGCTTTCAACAGAGGAAGAATAGCTCAGCGAGAGACATGCCTGCTCATGAATAGTTAGCGCGTCCGCGCATGGAAACGCTCTATGGCATTTTTCACACTGGAAATTCAAAAATAGACTAGCAGATCGATGGAGCTGTTTCTCACAAACTGTTTTAGCGATGTACGGGAACTTCTCACTGGAAAAATCGACGAATGTCAAGTCTTTGAATCCAACCAATCCTTTTTCACTCGACTTCAACTCCTCATCGGGGTGTTTCATCGTTCGGTGTAGATTAAGTTTCTTATGGTTAGAGAATTCTAAATTACACGGATTGCATTTTATTTTATAATCGGGGTGTGCATCCTCTATGTGGTTCTCCAAAACGTGCAGCGTGGAAAAATCTTCCCTGCTGCAGACTGGGCAACTGAACCACTGCCCATCACAATTGATCCTTTGTCTAAACTCGATTGCGTTCGAGCTAGGGTCGCGCGTTCTCTCGCATTTCGAAGGCATATCGATACTATTGTTGTTGAATTCTCCCGTGGAAGAATTAACTCTCCGTTTTTTATTGAAGAAAGGGGATTTTTGGTTTTCTGAATTACTATCGGTGCTACTATCGCTTTCATTACAGTTAGACTCGTTAACTCTTCCGTGGAGATTATGAGCTGTCCGGATGTGCCTGTGCATGTTTCCGTTGGTTTTGAAGAGGAGTCCGCAGATGTGACAGCGGAAAGGCCGCTCTCCTGAGTGGACTAGGACGTGGCGATCCAGTGAGCTGGCAGAGCCGAGGACTTTGCCGCAGATACGGCATGTGAAGCCTTTGCTGGAATTCACGTTTGATGGCTCGGAATCATTGTTATGAGATCGTATGTGGAGGGTGAAGTCGTGTTGATTTGATAAGGCAGTCTTGCAAATTGGACAAACGCACTGCAGTTCGTTGTCACTTTTGGCTCTTCCATTTTCTAGCGATTCATTCTTTGTCTGGAATCAAGAGAAAAATCGATAAGTCAGTTGGAACATAAAGTGTGTATTCTAAATTCATGTTATCCTACATTAGCTCGGAAATTTTTTTTTTTGGATTTATAATTTTTTGATAGTTCGGCCAAACAATTTGTTATGAGTAAGAGTAGAAAAAAAATGTAGTACATTTTTCTTCTGTTTGACGCAGGAAGGGTGAAAGAACTGATGACACTTTTAAACCTAACCAAAGATTGTTTTGATACCACTATTCAAACTCTTCAGAGCGCATATTGCCTACCCTCTCAAATGAAGGAAAAAAGTATGCAAGGGAGCTGCATCACAAGCAAAACCTAGAGCGATATTCACGGCATTTCATTCGCCGGAAATAAGAACGATAAATTGGAATCATCACCACCAAATTGTTAAATTTTACTTCAAATATGCTTTCCTTTTCTGCCTGTGTATTTAGATCTCTCCCTTCACAAAGGAGGGGCTTCATTTAAATTACGGACAGCGTGAAGTACGCTAGTGAGTCTTTATCCATCATCTGATTAATTGATTTCACTTAATTTCCACATTCGGATTGCAAGTATGGTTTTGCTATGTGTCACGTGTACTTCTATGCTTGTAGGTGGTAGATCGATAAATTGTGAGCCTTTCCTTAAACCTCGGAGAGAGCGGAATACGCTTTCAAGTCAAAACAACACGAAGAACAGTCGAAGAATGTACGAAGTTGGGTTCGAACCCAACATGCAACTATATTAACTTTGCGGTGGGCCGGGTTGCATACGCTAGATTTTGCGGGCGAAATCTAAGGTCCTTTCAACTCAAGACATCGCGAAGAACAATCGAAGAATGTATAAAGCTGGGTTCGAACCCACCATGCAACTATATTAACTTCGCGGTAGGCCGAGTTGCATACGCTAGATTTTGCGGGCGAAATCTAAGGTCCTTTCAACTCAAGACATCGCGAAGAACAATCGACGAATGTACAAAGTTGGGTTCGAACCCAACATGCAACTATATTAACTTCGCGGTGAGCCGGGTTGCATACGCTAGATTTTGCGGGCGAAATCTAAGGTCCTTTCAACTCAATACAACGCAAAGAACAATCGAAGAATGTACAAATTTGGGATCGAATCCAACATGCAACTATATTAACTTCGTGGTGGATCGGGTTACATTAGAATTGAAATGTTAAAAAACTTACCAATCCATATTCTAGATCATTCTTGTGCTCGAACCCTTCTTTCCCGATGCGCAACTGGAGATCCTCGTTTTTCACGCTGGCGGGAAGTTTCGAACGCATTTCTGAGGAAAAAACAAAAGATAAATAAGTTTTCATTAGATTAGAAGTTGTCGTGTCTTTCTTTCTAATTATTGATAAAGTACGCGAGAGCTGCACGATATTTACCGTGAATTTACTTCGGAAATCAACTTCTCAAAATTGTCGAATCCGGCGATGCAATCGAAATCGTTTGAGTGTATTATTGAGTGCCTCAACATAGAAAAGGATGAAGTCTGATGACAGGAAACGCGCGCTTCTCTTTCGTGTTACGGTAAAACGCCGTATGCACATTCAAATGTTGCCAAATTTACCTCGAAAAACCTTTATTTTGGAAGAAAATTATGTTTATTTTTTCTTGAAATTTTCAGATATTTGGGATAAAATTGCGAAAAAAATTATTTAAATTTTTTTTAGAAAAACATTCACAACTCTCTCAATAAATCCGTACATTATCAAAGGAAATTTGACAGCGTCTTAAGATCCATACGGCGTTTTTCCTAGCATGTCAGTGCAAGTAGACAGAGTATCATCCGGCTCTCAATGTTACCATAGCTTCGTCACATTATCTCATTTTCTCGTTTTCGAACCGAGACGTCAATGGCTAAACTCTGAAAACACGTACCTTATAATAAGACGCTGCAAATTTTCTCTCACGGTTTTAATTTTTGCTTTTTAGAAAAAAACTCCTAAATATTCCGTGAAATTTTCGTCTAGGTTTTTTTTTCCTGTTCCATCAAGATTATCCCTTCAAATTTGGGGCTTTAAAAACATATTTTCGGGAAAAGTTAGATGTTTTCAGGTACAATCGTTTCATTATTGGGTAAAATTTAAAGGTGTCAGCAGTATTCGAGCAAGATTCAAGGTTACCGTAATTTCTTCATCTTCAAATTCCCTGAATTTCCCCGAATTTGCTTCTCCTCGACTCCAAAATTTCAAGATTCCCGGCTTTTCCTGACATTCGAATAAAACTTCCATTTTGATTTTCCCCCCTTTAAATTGTACTCACTTCTGCCAAACACACTTCGCAAAATTCCCTAAATTTTGTAGTGAATTATTCTCTGACTTTCCCCGGTCGCCGCAAATTCCCTTATTTTCCCTAACCTTCCCGGTTTTCCAGACCGCCGGCAACCCTGAAGATGCATTCCAGTGGCGTGGCGTGTTTTGCGATATATCGATTGATCTGCCATTTAAACCTGTGGAAAAGGATCGATAAACACGGTGTTCGCAGCGAAAACCTTAATAATCGATTTTTTACCACAGTCTCAAATGGGGAAGAAATATCGATACTCGGTCTTTCACGCCACGCCACTAATGCGTTCGACATCCCAATATTCGCTCACTTTGGATATAGGTTCATCTTAAGATGTGAGTTTCTAACCTCAGACGCAAGAGCGCGCGCGCCAGCGACGATGCCACAGGACGCGAATCAGGACGTGCGAGAGACGATCTGCGGAAAATCGCGGGAATGGACGGACGAAAGCGCATGGGGAGCCGATGCTGAGGCTGACGAAACTGGGTGGAAATCTCCCGGAGAGAGGCGCTAGGCCGCCGGATGATTTGTTTGGAATCAGAGCCAAAGCTCGTCTCTATGGAAACCCGACATGGCGACGCTCCACGGATGTAAGGACACAACGCCATCTCAAGGAGACCCCTGTCCTCCGTTTGACACCGTGCTTTGCGGGGCTCACGGGGGAGTGGGGTTACGCCCTGCGACGATGTGATGAATGATAAATATTGACGCTGCTGCTAAATCGGGCTGGAATCGTCCTGGGTTCCGGTGAGCGCCTTCAGATCGTCGCTCCTCTGACGTAAGGGCGTATCTCGATTTCCGTATGAGCCCTGGAATGCATCGAGTTATATGGAAGACAGGGCTCACGTGGAAAATGAGATACGCCCTTACGTCAAAGGAGCGACGAGATGTCCCCCGTTTCCATGGGCACCCAACAAAACTCCCCGTCTCTCGACATTCCCCCGCGGGAGAGCGGGCGAGGGGAGGGATCCGCGAAGGGCGCATGCACCCCCCTCCCCCACCGATGCGCGCCCTCCGCGGGGGCGGGGCTACTCGCGCTCTCTCTGCCACTCGTGGAGCTTTCTGAGGAGCGCACTCGTCGCACGGAGATACAAGGGAAGACGCCGTGTGAACATTCGCACCTTGCCGGATTTCCTCACTTAAAATGTTGACTTTTGAGGAAAGTCATGAAAATTGATTTTTGAGGAAAGTCGAGAATATTGATTTTTGAGGAAAGTCGTGAATATTTATTTTTGAGGAAAGTCGTGAATATTTATTTTTGAGGAAAGACGTGAATATTTATTTTCGAGAATAGTCATGAATATTAATTTTTCGAATATTCAGATACTTTAAATCACACTGCGAAGAAAATTCGCTGCAAGGGAGGTATAAAGTGGCGTAATTTGGGGCGAGCAAGGGGGGCTCCCTTCTATAAGTCGATAAGTTTCTCAAAATTTAAAAAATAAGGCAAAATTAATTCCAATTCCTTTTCGAGACAGCCGGACACCCGTTTTCCCAATGGAATTCTTATTGTTGTAACGAGAACTTCATTCGGACAGCGGGAATTCTTCTTTTTTGAAAAGAAATTTAATGAGGAATTCATGAACAGGAGCTCTCAACACCGAAATCGTGATCTGTGGTTTTGAAGTTTCACCAGCGATTTTTACTCACTGACGTGACGTAAGTAAGCAGAACTAAAATCTACCCAAAACTAAAGTACCCTGTGAAGAAAGCGTGGACACCTGGCTGAGCCCTTGTCACGTATGATCGCACAATCAAGAGTGTTCCGCATGAAAAAGTGTATTTTCCGACAAAACATGACAGCGAAGGGGACCAATACTTTTCGATTACTTTGAAGCACGTGTTGGGAAGGCAAGGCGAAGGATGAGGGGAAATTCGGGCTGGCATAATAACTAGACCTAATCATCTTCAAACAACTTGTTTTTTATGTCTATCAGTTTTATGAAAAAATATCGATCACTCAGCAACTTAACAAAAATTGGTTCGACGCAAGTTCCCTCATGCACTCCTCCCTCCCACTTAGTCAACTTCCCAGATATCGATCCCAGGAATTTTCGGTAATTTTACCGCGTTCCTGGCAGGAGTGATTCTTTAAAGTTGGCAGCGCTGTTTTCCTTCATTTAAATGTATGACGGGGTTGCCACAGAATTTAGAAAATTAAATTCCCTGACATTTACCTGATTTTCCTGACACTTTTTGGTGGAATTCCCTGACAATTGAAGATGAGAAGAATGGTTAAGAAATAATTGAAAATAGTTTTCAGGCAAAATTTGTTGTTCGAAACCTCAACCCCATTCTAGAAAGCAAATGAAGGGGATTTAACAAATTTTCCCCAACATTTTCGTCATTTTCCCTGGCATTTCCCGGTTTCCCCTGACTTTTTAAAATTCCCTGACATTTCCCGGTTTCCCCGGTTTTCCCTGACTGTTGTCTGTGAATATTGTTGAACAGGTGAGGAAAATTCACCAAACAATGAAAATGTGGTCGGTTAGTTTTCTTGAATATGAAATACATCATATGATATGATCATAATTCTTTATGTCGGTGGATTCGCCTCCATTCAATTGGACTGGCAAAAGAGGGATCCAGTGGGATTAGGAATGACACCACTAAAGATGCTCGTGGGAGCGCATTTTGCCTACTTCGTCGTATGAAGGCGAATCCATTAACACAGATGTTCGGTGTGAGAGAGAAGGTAGATACTTACCAAGAGATCTAGCGACGGATCCAGGTGAGGGAATGGAAACAGCATTGAACTGAGGATGGAATGTTGCCATGTCCTGCATCTTTCGCAGTAATTAAAATTTCGACTCGATGATTCTACAGACGAATCGAGTCCTCGTTGCTTGGGTCACTCCCTGAAACAGAAAAATGTTCACCTCAGTTGCCGGACGAAATCTTTGCGCGAAATCATGCAGATACGATTTGTCGTTTTCTAGACGATCGAATGTAACTTCATTCAAAGATTGCAGCATTAACTCAAATAATTCAGTTTTTTTGCATGAATACGACTGAGCAATTTTATCACAAATTTTTGCCGATTTCTGAGGCTTTCGGACGAAAAATCCGTCAATTTTTTATTTAGAAACGTTCAAAAATCTTTGTTGACCGCGCCAGGTTAACGAGTGCTAACGAGCACAAGACACAACGCAGTGTCCTTGGGGCGCTAGATCTCCGGTTGGTTCCCCCAGTGAGTGTTACTCCGAGCAGAATTCTCTCCTTGAAGAAAATGAATTACTCATCGGAATGAATGTTTTTTCTCGATAATTGTGCAGTGGCGTGGCGTGCTTTGCAATATATCGATTGATCCGTCATTTAAACCTATGGAAAAGGATCGATAGTCAGGTTGTTCGCAACGAACACTTTAATAATCGATTCTTTACCATAGCTTCAAATGGGGAAATATCGATAGTCGATCATTCACGCTTCGCCACCGTAATTGTGGGAACTCTTCTCTGGAGCATTCTCTGTGCAACTGTGGCTATTGTGCCGCGCGTCAGCGTTGACCGACATGTTTTATCCTCTACTGGTGGACCGCTTGACAAGGTCTGTGTTCTGCCGTGGTAAGGAGAAACGCCGTAAGAGCCTTCAGACATTGCCAAATTTCCTCCGATAAAAACCGAATTCACTGAGAAAATTGCAAATAGTATATTCCAAAATTTTCAGACAATTTTGTACGCATATTAATCTAAAATATCTGAAAATTTTAAGGACAAAAATGCATAAATGTTGTAGAAAATACACGTTTTATCAAGGGAAATTAGGCAACTCTCGAAGGTTCATGCGGCGTTCTTCCTTAGAACGGCAGTATTTCCGCATTATGTTGCATCATATCGATGACCAAAGTGCGAAACCACGTATTTCCATTGCGGTGTATTAAAATTTCCACTTCTATTTTATTTGTTCAAAGAGAAAGAAACAAACTTTAAGGCTAGAGATTCTTATGATAAAAGAAAAGACGAAATAATAAATCAGAGAAATTTTAAGATTTTACTCTGACTAGTTTTCCAGGGATGAAATAAAGTATGACAGGAAGCTTGCAACGTCGCAAACAGAGATATAATATAATTTCGGCCTTGGGCCATCGATATCCATTCCAAACCAATCCGCACAACATGCGTATTGCGCGCATTTCGGAAATTCGGAGCGAGCGAGGAAAGTCAGGGCGCCTTCAAGTTTTTTGTATGCAACACGCGCATCCATGGAACACGAATAGTCGCATCAAGGCGCTGTGATGAACTTGTCTCTTTCCGCGCATCCACTGACGGCGAATCAAAGAGAAACGGAGAGCAATTAGTTAGAATAATTAGTAGATAACGTCTCATCCGCGATTTTCGATTATACGCGGTTTACGATCATTAAACGCTTTCGGGTCGTTTCGGACGTCTGCGGATTACAACTATCCGCGGCTTTCAATTAGCCGCGAATTACGATCATCCCCGTTTCGAGATAATCTGCGATTTACGATTATCTGCGATTTCCGATCATCCGCGAATCATCATCCGCGATTACCGATCATCCGCGATTTCCGATCATCCGCGAACAACGATCATCCACGATTTCCGATCAACCGCGATTCCAGCATAATTCGGTTGTATCAACGGAAAAATCACCGACAACCCGATCATGTCGAACGCGCCAAACCGATGAACGTTTAATTAGAGATGGACGTACTTATGCTAAAAAGAACTATGTGCATAGGGTTTGCGTACAACATAGTTCCTTTCAGCATAAATACGTTTAGATAATGAGGAGGAGAGCCAAGACGAATCGCTTCGACGCGGGAAACCGCAGCCGTGTAATAAGTGTTTAATAAACAGAGGACCGAGAGAGGTGAAACGGGCGCGCATCAATCTCAATGCGGTGGATGGTGTTTTCCACCCCCGATGACGGAAGTCAACAACCCGCACCAGCACCCCCCCCCCCCCTTCCGGCTGCAAGAGAGGGAGTCAAATTGAGATTAATACGGGGTAGGAAGAAGAAGAGAGCGACAATAACACGGACCGTTGGAAAAAAGCTGCGCCCCGACACCACCTACCTAGAGGAACCCACACACTGGGCGGATAACACGGTGTCCAGTGTTGTCAATTTTCCAACTCGCGGGTTCCTCGAGTGAGTGATTCTCTCAGGCCTTTGGTAAAAAAAGGAGGAGTGGCAACCCCTCGTTTTCTGCTTAAACAAGCGCGGGATGGCACGAGCCGCGGGATAGATTAAAAAAAACTCACCTGCCCGGAATAGTGTAGTTGTGGCTTTAGATCCCACACCTGCTCCCCCTATCCCCTGCTCCAATGCCCTCCCGTCCCCTCTGCAAGACTCAAGTCGGAGAATCTGTATGTAGATCAGCAATACACACTCTAATTAATCGCAATCCTCCAACGTAGCCTTTGGGTACTTCAATTTTTTTTGGGGGGGGCGGGGGGTATCGTAAATTGCCTACCTTTCTCACACACGGTCCACACATTTTAGTGATCGTCTGAAAATTGATCAAAATTATGTAAAAACATTGCAATTTCATGGTAAAATAGTTGCAATTTTACTGCACTAAAGTGCAAAATTATTCCTATTGCACAGTGCTACTCGGGGAGACGACTCTAAAAGTCCTGTTTTATAATTTATTTATTTATATATATATTTTTTTTATTATTTTTTTTTTTTAGTTTGAGTCAGCGCACCCATGTTTTTAGTTTTTACTCTCTCGTGTTTCATTTATCCGGTGGCGTGGCATACTTTGCAATAAATCGATCGATCTGCCATTTAAACCTATGGAGAAGGATCGATAAACAGGGTGTTAGCAACGAACGCCTTCATAGTCGATTCTTTACCATAGCTTCAAATGGGGAAATATCGATCATTCACGACTCGCCACTGCAACGATCGGAAAGTGCGCCTTCTCAGTATTTTTAATAACACCTTTGTTACAATACAGCACTAAATATAGAATGTTTCAAAATGGCTGCGGATTTTAGCTTTCAGCATCTAACGATGCTGTGACCAAGAAGCTTAAAATGTGAGTGTGAGCCCCATAATCAATATTCCAACGATATCTTACTGGGTGTGTTGGAGGTGGCGTGCTAGGTCAACCCTCATCCCTAGCACGGAAGAAACATTTAGGCCCGATCGCGATCGCCTCCCCTTCTCTCCCCATAAAACACACAAACTTACGAACGCAAACACACACAAGCAAAAAAATACTCAGGTGGATGACTCACGGCCGGACACACGCTCACGCTGTATCCCCCTTTCCCGCCCACTGACGGTGATGATGCAATCATAATTATTATTATTGTTGGGAAGCGAGAGAGGACCCTTGCAAAATACCACCTATCAACGGTGAAATTCCCAAACCACGTATCGCGGTTTACGACTTTGCAGATTTCCTGTCATATATGTACTTTATGTTTTCAATGGAAAAATACTCAACGTTAATGCTGTGAACTTTTTCTTTCCATTCGAAGAAAATCCTGCGAAAACTTTGAGGAATGATGCTGGTTTTTTTCTCCTTCAAAAAAGGGGAATGGCAGCGGAGATTGTTGAACACCTAAACAAGGTACGTGCGGTCTGGCAGTTTCAGTGTTGATATCCTACTTGTTTGTGGAAAGAATGACCACCATTCGAGTTTCTTTACGGATCCAAAGGGAATGGAATAGCAAGCTGTATCGTGATCAAAGATGCAATTTCATGGAGTGAAATTCCATTTTGCTAGAAAGGAAATTTTCATTTTCTATGGAATTTCGACGACTTTTAGAGGCTGCGTATGCAGCCTGAAACAATTACTCGAGAATTCGATAGGAGTTTTCAAAATGGACTGCGTTTTGCAATTTGGAACTACAAATTCTGGCCCAGTTAAAAAACAACGTATGTGCCATTAGTTCCCCTATGCACGTAAGTGTTTTTTCAGATGAGCCAGAATTTATAGTTCCAAATTACAAAATGCAGTCCAAATATGACCCACGATTGCTTCGCCAAAATTTCAAAATTAAGATTTCAATATTTCTATGCGTTTCATGGCATAGTGAGCTACTACAGAATTTTAAAACAAATTCATGAAATTTCATCATGATATTTCATTTGTTTCGTGAAATTTTACATCTCTGTTCGTGATATGTTCAGGCGTGCGACAGATCCGTATCTTGTATTTCAATTTGGCAACCACCACATTTCCGGAGAATTACATAAAATCAGGAATCGAGTAACCAATAGCATTCTTTTTTTCCAAGTTATGCGATCCAGGAATGCCTCCTAAGTCCAACCCTGCGAATCCCGATCCATTTTTTAAAAAAACGTTGACTAATCTGATGAAGGTGCGGCCATCACGAAGAGAGTCCGGTGATGACACGGCTCATTAGTCAAGTCCTTTCAGATTTATCAACTAAAAGTAATTGGACCAGCTGCCATCGTGTCATGGCGAGACTCGGAGATCATTATTTTTGCTGTCTCAAACCCAAGTTTTTCACTCCTTGACAAGACGAGACATGATGTTAGAAGTCGATTTTCCCATCCAGACACAACATTTTATCCTATTGCTTATTTGGACAATTAATATCTCACTCCGTTCTCTCCCATGAACCTTCAGTGAGTGATTCAAGTTCTTAAACAACCCAAGACAATCTTTATTTTAATACGACTTCGGTCGTGCGCACCGAAGTTCGGCGTTCCATATCATCCCAACTAATTCGGTTCGTCAAACTAAATTCTCGGTGTGTCAAACCGAACTTCCAATTCGTGTAACCGAACTTGTGCGAAAAAGTGAACTAACAAAGTTTGATCATAAATGCCCAACGTTCGGTTGCACAAACCAAAAGTTCAGTTTGACAAACTGAATATTTGGGACGTTATGGAACATTGAACGTTCGGTAAA